CCCCCCCCCGTTTCCGAGAGCTACGAGAACAACTTCCGGCTCGTTCCCGGCTCGTTCCCGGCTCGTTCAGGCGGAATTCGCAGAGAGAAATAGGAATCCCCTTTCGCACTACACTAAAGTCGCACTGTTAAACTGTGTCTGGAATCGTGTGTGTCGTGCGCGGCGCGGCTCGACGGGGCGCGCAAAGGCGGGCCGCCCAATTAATTAAGATAGCTCCTAGACACACACGTTAGATCGATAGGGACCGGCCGCGATAAAGACTGGCGAGGGTCTCAGACTTCAGGGATGTTGCAGTGCTGTGGTGTTGGAGGTGGCGCTTCCACGGCACCTCACGCTCCGCAGCTGCAGGGTATCGGATCCGCTGTCGGGGCTACCACCTCCACGAGAACCACCATCATGCAGGACGCAGTTCTCGAATCCATCCTGGAGGTGAGTTCTTTTTCTTGGTCCATTTCTCTTATCTCGACACGCGACATCATTATTTCATATAATGTTGCATCATCGTGATAAAAGAGTTTGCCAATATTGGAGTTTGTATTATCAGTGTTTTGCTTTCCCACCATAATTATTTGAGAAATTATTACTACTCATTATTGTCGTTTATTTAATTTGCAATTAATTATGGCTTTTAATTAAATATAGCTTTTTTCTGTTTTATAGAATTGATATCCGGATGCTATTTTTTTTAAACTAAGAAAAACTAAATCTTTAATCCTCGCTGTTTCTATGCTCTCATGAAGGAATAGAAACAGGGAGATGTTATTTCGTAGTTAACAAAAATTAGAGATCTTTAGCGGCGATATTAACGAATTCGCGATTGCGGAACGCGTGCGTGCGCTCGTCGCGAACCGAAAGTCCTTGAAATTAAAGCAGATTATGTGGAGAAGTAATATGCATGTAATCAATAGACACACACACACACATATACATACACGCGCGCGCGCGTACAGAAAAGTTATGTGTAAACCATCGACAATGAATCGCGGTTTATGAAAAGCTCTCTTTCATTCTCGCCGCGGATGCTCGATAAAGCTCACATAATATGATGAAAAACAAAAGTTTTTATTAATATCTTCCGGCTGCGATTGCTCCTTTTCCGAGAGGCTTTAATTCGTAACATAAAATCACTTGAACTCCATTAGCGATTTATGTAGGGATCTCGAAAATCTACACGTGGGAAAATTAATACTGACTCGCGACAGAAGTACCCTACCGCAATCTAGATAATTGAAGCAATTAATTTCGCGAAGTGGTAAGCAATTTTGCAGATTACATATGGGATGTCGTGCCATAATTACCGATTAATTAGAAAGAATATATCAAAGAGAAGACGGGCGTTGAAATGATCTGTCGGATTATTCTCTTATTTTCCGATGACATTTTTTCTCGCGAAAGATTTTCCGCTAGATTATATACAGCGAGAGATCAGTTGCTCGCGCACCTTCGGGCAATTGGAACACAAAAGCTCCTCTTTCATTACAAATGTGACATTCTAGTCGTGAATTTCTAACCAGACCTCGCTCCAGGTTATTAAGAGGGGCCGCAAAAATCAAACCAGCTTCTCTTTTCATCCGTTATTTCCATTCTGGAACATTGTCGGATAATGATATAAAATTATATCAACATCCTATACTTATATATTTTATATCTTATTAAATTATTATTATTATTATTATTATGTCTCTTATATATTAACATCTTATTAAAATTGCTCTTTTAAGTTAAATTATATTAATATCTTATACATAAAATTAAAAATTATAATATTTTATTAAATTATACTTTTTATCGTATAATATTTTCGTTGCGATATGTTAAACTTGATTTTTAATTTTAGACATAAGAGATTCATCTCGCTACTTGCGTGATTCCAGAAACAATAAATCTCTTGTATAAATAGCTTCTATTAATTAAGGCGCTGGCGCATGTTTATGTTAATAAACCTACGTAGCTACATGTTACCGAGTAATATCAATCATGCACTGAAGAGGATGTTGCATCTACCGAATGTTTACGGATATCATTTACGCGACAACGCTAATTATACGATTTGTTTAGCAAATGCGAGAGACGGAAGCCCGACGAGCGGAGCTGGAGAGGCAGCACGCGGATGCACAGAACCAGCTGCGGGAGAAGATAGCAGGACGCTATCAGGGCCCGGAGTCGGTGGAGGCGTTGCAGTCGAAGATCCGGGAGCTTGAGAAGAAGACGGAGCTGCAGATAGTGAAGCACGAGGAGCTGTCGCTAGAGCTGACCAGTTTGAGACGTGCGCGTAGTAGAGGACCGATCGTAGGGCACGTCACATCCTCGAGCGTCCCGACGTCCACTTGGCCGCCATCTGGCTCCGAGATCGATAGAATCATCGCCAAGATCGAGCAGGATAATAGGTATCGATAAAATTTCTTTTCAGTTAATAAAGATGGAATTCGTCAAGCATTTACAACTTCGTTCTTTGCACGCTGCGTATATATGTATATGTGCATAAAGATGTATCAGTTTGTGAATTGTATTGGCGAATCGCGAATGCGCGAATGATTAATTAAAATCAATTTAGCACCAGCAGAATGTTACACGAACTGGATCACGGGTCGCGGGGCGCGATAACCACGCAACAACCCTCGGCCACGCAAAGCATCCTTCGGTCCAGCTCGGAGAATCTTCCCAATCTCGGCCAACACCAACACCCACCTCATCCGCACGCCCTCAACCTCGGAATGCCTACCCAGATGGGCCACGTATGTAATCCATTTCTATGATTATCTTTGTCACTCTAATCTATTCCGTTAATACCGAGACAAGACGTCAATAATAAATGTAATTTTTTAAATAATTGATAATATATATTACAATACTCTATACTAATTATTGATCGATATATTATTATATTTCCATTTATATTACATTTATATTTGAACGATTTTCACATAATTTGCGCGCATTCTCTCTATTTATTTTTTATATTCTATAAAGACTCGTTAAGAGTTTTTAGCGATCAAAGACAAAAAGTTTTTCTTGCTATTGTTTTGGAAAGCATTCTTGCCGCTATTTACATTAATAATCAGAGCTGAGAAGCTCTGAGATGTTTGCTAATTATTGATAAGACTTGTTCGAACAGTACGCAGGCTCACCAATGCCGTTAACGCCGATGATGCCTGGCTGTCCTCCACTGACGCCGAACGGACCACCGTATCACTACAGCGAGCCGATACCGCCGGCGCCGTCACTCTCCAGCAGCCAGTCACAGCCCGCTTTCCAACAGAAGATCCAACAATATCAGCCGCAACAGCACGATTTATCGAGTTCCCATTCCCAAAGTACTCTGCCGTCGCAACAGAAACAGCAGCAACAAACGCACACTTCACACTTTACAAGCAATCAGTATCAGGAGAGCTATCCACATACGCAAACGTATCAGCAGCCGCTTCAGCAGCAGCAGCCGCAGCAACAACATCCGGCCCCGACCACGTACCTGACATCGGTCAGCCAGAGTGTGATGCCTCACTATACACAGCCTGCTCAAACCGCCCAGAATTATCAATTGAATGGCAGTCAACAGGTGTGTCATCAATTATTCAAACGCGATTACTTTTTTACAAGATAAATTAACTTAACAATAAGTAACAGGATTCTTGGATATCTACAAAGATATCTACCTTTAAATAAAACTAGTTATGTTGTTTTCAATGTTTGTTAAAAAAGTATCTGCCTAAAATAGATTTAATGTAGAGCAGTTACGGATTAATTTTGGCCATCAATTTCTCATCGTACTTTTTTATATTAGATGTATTTGATTTTATCATATATACATCTCAAAAATTGTAAAAAAGGCTAATAAGATTATAAACCTTACAATATAATGAATCTGTGTATCGCATACAGGCAACGACATATCCTAACTTGTCCATGGCATCGCATCCGAATGGGACTTACAGCACGGGCACAAGCAGCTTCAATACCCAATTGCCCCATCACAATTACAGTGTGCCGCAGACGAATATCCCGCAGACCACGTTGCCCTCGCTGTACTCCACCACGTCCTACCATTCCACTCTTGGAGGCCTCACGAGCGTACCCCAGACTGTTCTTCCTTTTTCCACTGGTCAAAGCACCTTCGCCACGAGTGGATCGACTTATTCCACTACCGTCGGGACCAACGCTTTTGGGACGTCGGGCGTAACCTCAGGTCAGAATTGCACAAATATGTATCATTAAAAGATTTAGTATATATAGTTGTTTTATCTTTTTTTAGACAGCAAAAAAAATAAATTTTATTTTTTCAACTTTTAAACAAAAGTTAGAGCATTATTGTTTTAAACTTTTCAATTTATGATATTATTATTTTCAGTGTGAGAAGTATATTATTTTATTAAACAGACAGTGCGACAGCGCAATTTTTAAAGTTAATTGGTTGTTTTGATATCTTTTTGTGCAGGTACTAGTTCGGGAGGCTTGTTACAAGCAATAGGCGATCCTCTGCAAGCGATGCAACAACTCTCCGCCCAATCGCAGGCCAATCAGCTTCAGCAGCAGGCAATCATTCAGCAGATCCAGCAGAGCTTGCGCGCCAGCTCACCGACCGCGCCGAGTACCGCAACCGGCCATCACTTTTTAGGTCCCAGGCAAATGCCGAAGATCCCCACGAGTATACTGACGAATCCCCTGGACCGATTGACCAACACCGAAGACATTGTATCCGAAGGTCAAGTGGATATGCTGGACGTGCCCGGCAAGGGTAGATGTTACGTTTACATAGCCCGTTTTAGTTACGAACCATTTCAACATTCACCGAACGCGAATCCGGAAGCGGAACTGCCAGTCCAGGGTGGCGATTATCTCCTAGTTTGGAGCCAGCCGGACGAAGATGGTTTTCTGGACGCGGAGACGCTCGATGGTAGACGCGGTCTGGTGCCGGCCAACTTTGTGCAGAAGTTGGTCGGCGATGATCTATTGGAATTTCATCAAGCTGTTCTCGGCCTTAGAGACGTGGACGATTCCGCCTCGACGAATATCCCTCAAGTGAGCAATATGAAATCTAACAAGGTATCTAATGATGCGACGCACTTATCTTTTTAATCCTTGCGACAAATACATCGACATTATGACAATGTCAATACATAATAATTAATGAGAATGTTACTAAAATCTCATTGAGAAAATGTTAATCTGGGTGTAATAATAATTTTTATTTCGTATATTTTAGTGCTATCTGCAAGATATTGATTTAGAATTAGCCGCGTTGGAAGAAGGTAACCGGAATCGTCAAGCAGAACTGTCCGCGTACGCGGAACTTGACAATATCGCGGAGGAGGATGAACAAGAACCGCCAGGTTAGTACGCTCTACCAGTTTGCTGTGATAATTTGCGAGACAATGCATGACGCATGTTATTAACATCAAATTAAACAATATAATAGATATCAAATCTACGCCCGCAATCCAGTAAATGTCTAGATGTATTTGGTACTTGGATCAATTAATAATTCTAGAAAACCTGGCAATCGGATTCGCTTTCAACGATGTGGTTGAAAGATTTTTCGGATCATTGTTCCAAAATAATATAATTATGATGCAGTTTTAGAAATTATTTTCTATAGAACTTGCTTTCATGGTTTGTCCGTCCCGCTTAATTGTGTGTGCGTGTGTGTGTGTGTTGTGTGTAATCTATACATGTTCAATATAATATTCGATACTTCAAAAACGCAATACTAAATTATTCTCAGTGTATGTATCTATAGCGCTTCTCTCTTTTCTTTGTTGCACGAATTGGGGACAAAAAAAATCTATGCATGTCAAACAGTAAACGTCCACGCCTCGATCCCGAACCGGTTTTCACGAAGTGAGTAGTCACATAATAAAATGGGGAACGCAGAGAACCGAATCGCGTTGCACTGTGTTAAGTGTTGGCTGGACTTAGGTTGGCTTAGAGAGATAGACAATAGTCAGAGATCCTTAGCTACAGCTAGGCTTTGTCTTTGTCTTTTCTTCCTGAAGAAGTCTACATGTTTTCGGACCTAGTTCCGGCGCCGCAGCACCTCACACTCGAGCGGCAACTCAACAAAAGCGTGCTGATCGGATGGACCGCGCCCGAGAACACGCACCAACTCGAGTCTTACCATGTCTACGTGGACGGAGTGCTGAAAGTCACGGTGAAGGCCACTGAGAGGACTAGAGCCTTGGTAGAAGGAGTCGATTCTACTCGGGTTTGTATAAAATCTCTTATTAAAACTATTCATTAAATTCTATAGAATTCAAACATTGTGCAAAACATGCGACCGCAAATTTGAAGTTGTAATTATTAATTATAAAATTAAGATTATGTGATTTTAGGACTAAAATATATACGAGATAAAGTGCTTTATGGAAAAGATTAAACTGTCTTAAGTTTTAAATGATTATGTGATTTCAGAGCATGTAATAGAATGATGGATCAACTAGTATAAAAATAGTAGATTAAACATTTTTCTGTTTTATATTTTAATCTATTTGAACTGTATTAAAAACATATTCTTCTGTTGATGCAGCCGCACAGAATAAGCGTGCGTTCGGTCACGCATTCGAGAAGAACGTCGCGCGATGCTGCTTGCACAATGGTGATCGGTAAGGATATCGCGTTAGGTCCAACCGCCGTCAAAGCGTCGAACGTCACGGCGACCAGCGCTGTAATATCTTGGCTACCCAGTAACAGCAATCATCAACACGTCGTATGCGTAAACAACGTGGAAGTGAGAACAGTGAAGCCGGGCGTTTACAGGCATACTATCACCGGCTTAGCCCCGTCGACGATATACAGGGTGACCGTCAAGGCGAAGAACTTACGGGCGACGCACTTCGAGGAACAAAACGCCCAGGCGGCAAATAACTTGGCTTGCCACGTCCACTTCAAGACGTTGCCCAAGGGACTACCAGATCCTCCGGTCGATATCCAGGTTAATAAAATTTTACATTCCCTTATTAAAAAATAAAAATTTATAATCGTTAAATTTTCTAAAAAATAATTCTAGAGCCTAACTTGAAATTTCTGAAATTTTCATAATACTATTCTCAAGGAAAAGATCTCTCAAACACTAATGGTACGTAATATTATGCAATTTTCAGGTGGAGGCTGGACCGCAGGACGGCACTTTGCTAGTGACTTGGCAGCCTGTTGCCCTAAACGGTTCGGCCGTCACCGGTTACGCGGTGTACGCCGATGGTAAGAAAGTCACCGATGTCGACAGCCCCACCGGCGATCACGCGCTCGTCGATATACACAAGCTTATGGGTCTCAACCCGAAGCACATCACCGTCAGGACTAAGAGCAGGGAGAGTCAGTCGGGTGACAGTTGCGCAACGGCGATACCTTGCAGCGTGCTTCGCGGGGGTCCTACCGCAGGTCACATGCCGTCCCATGGTGGAGCCCCGCATATGGTGGACCAACGACAGCAACAGTCTACCGGCATGGTTCCCCAACAGGATGATTCCGCTCGTCATCGCATGACTAGTCAGCGATACCCAAACGCACCGATGCCTTCGCACATGCGACGACACGTGAGCAACAGGGTGGACGCCCACGGTCAGGTTATCATCGAGACGGACGAGAATCTTTCCGACAAAGAGATTTATCCCGGACAGAGTATTCCTCAAATGGGTAAATATAGGAGAAATACGAAAAAGCGGGGGAATCTGGGTTGAGTGATGGGTGATTTCGCCGGAACTCGAACTCCCCTGATTATGTAGGTTGTGTTCTATCTAATCGCGGTCTATAAACGGTCTGTTTCAGGTATCCCAGAGATCACAAAGGATTCCGCGAGCGAGGCAAATTACAGCGAGGAGGATGATCCCACACGAAGATCGCGAATGCCGCCGCAGCATCACGGCCCGCATCATCGTTATGGTCCTCAGATGGACTCACAGGGTCCACCTGGCGCGCATAGGTCTCCTAACATGAGTGGTCCCAGCGGTAGACCTCAAGATCCTTATTATGACCAAACGGGTATATATGCAGTTATTGCCTTTGCTATAATAAAATTTAATTTCTAATTTAGCAATTTAATTTTTAATCCAAAAATTTTGAAAAATTTTTGTTTATGTTAATATATATTAATATTTTTTTTTGTGTATTATTCAGGATCTCAAAGGGGAAGAGGTCCAGTTTATCGTGGTGCACGCGGCACACAAGCTCAAGGTGGACCAAGTCATCCAACAAGTGCAGCTCAACAGATGAACAAAAGGCAGCGATGGTTCGTGGCGCTGTTCGATTACGATCCCACAACCATGTCACCAAATCCAGATGCGTGCGAAGAGGAATTACCATTTTCCGAAGGCGATACCATCAAGGTTCCATTTTATTTCATATTGTTCTTGTTTAGTATTTGTAAAAATATTAAAATTATGTTTTAATTAAAACAAAAATTAGTTCTTTTTACGTAAAAAATTACATATTAGTTTTCTAAAGTTTTTAATAAAATTGAAATTAACTATTCGACTCTTATATTTATATCTATATAATGATATTGTATTTGAGAAAATGTCACAATTTTCTCTTATTGTACGTATGTAAAAGAAATCTTATATAACGTTTTATGTTCCATAGGTATACGGCGAGAAAGATGCCGATGGTTTTTATTGGGGCGAGTGTCGGGGTAGACGAGGATACGTTCCTTATAACATGGTAGAGGAGCTTAAAGATCCGCCGGGTCAAGGTCAGCCTGGTAGGAGAGGACCTGCACAAAACGAGAGATGGGGAGACATTTATGCGAGTATGCCCGTGAAAAAGATGATAGCTCTCTATGATTACGATCCTCACGAATTGTCTCCCAACGTTGATGCTGTAAGATTTTTATCTCGTAATATTTTGAATTTTTTTGTATAAATCTCATCCATAAAAATATCATTTAAATACACATTTAATCGTTTGTGAAAGTCCATCAATTATCTTCTATTCATGAATTATATATTTATATACATATTTATTATATATTACTAATCGATTTCTTAATTTTATAGCAAGTGGAGTTAACGTTCCAAACCGGAAACGAAATCTACGTTTACGGCGATATGGACGACGACGGTTTTTACATGGGCGAGCTGAACGGCGTACGCGGTTTAGTGCCGAGTAACTTCCTCACCGAGGCACCTGGACAAAATCAAGGACAACCGCCACCTGGTAGCAGGCGACCTGGCGGCCAAAGTCAAGGACCGGGCGCGAGAGGGCCGCCGCCGCCTCCACGGGAACCACCCCCGGCCGGTCATCGACGTGGCAAAGGTAAACAGCACCAGTCGTCGTATCGATTTTTTCTTACAGCGCCGATTACCGGGGCATGGATCCAGCTCCTCAAGCCAAAACGACACGAGATCAACGATGTTGTGCTTTGCACGGAGAAAAAGAGATTGCTCTGGCACAACAGCGTATTTTATGTTGTAGCAAATTTCGTCGGTCATTACACAAGCAACGAATAAATTTTTTAATTAAATTTGTTTCGGCAAAAAAAAACGAGAATTTATTCGGCAAGATTTTTTTTTACTTTACAGAACAAATAGATTTTATCATAATAAATGGAATAAACGATTACAATAGCAAAGTTTAATCGCTTTCGAATTTGCAGTAGCGACGCGATAGCAAGATTCTTTTCCTCCGTGTGTATATCGATATCGTTTCGACGTTCCCAATTACCGATATATGCCTTGATGTAGCATTTACAATATAAGAGGAAGCCGCCAAATTCTTAGAAACTAGAAGCGATTGGTTTTTACTGCAAACTAGAAATTGTTGGACGTGGGTTGTACGCGATTCGAGACAACGGGATGTTGGAACTGGCTCGAGGAGTTGTTGACGTGCGTTTCTACACCGACGCGACGCGCCGATTTCGTAAACACGGTCGAATCGAAAATATACTCGTGTTGTGTTTAATTTAATCGAAGCGATAGCGTCGCGTCGGTGTGTAAAAGAAAAGAACGGAAACGCAAACGGCAAGCAATACAAGACACGAAACCAGATGTGCCAGACGACAGGCAGAAGAAGGGTCACACTGATATTTTTAGCGTTGCGCGTTAATCTGGCGAGTCTCCGGATGATATTCTTTATGCAAATCGAGCCGAATGAGCATGCGGCGTATAATTAGATGAAATCATCATTTTAAGTAAAGTATAAATTGCGCGTTCGACGTGTGATACGTCCCGCATACGCATTTTAATCAGGAGGACTCGTTGTTTCGCTTCAAATGTGTACACGCAAATGAACGCACTTACCGATAAAATATCATCGATAAACCCGCTCTTTTGTGTAGGCGTTTAATAATGTTATATATACGAAATTGTTTCCAAGATCGTCAATGTTACAAATATACATCGATAGAAATTTTCTGTGTCACATATACATAAGAGAATTGGTGAACGTCCGAGGAACACGTGCTATCCACCAAGCTGCTTTCAGTGTCTTCTATTAAGTATATATCTAATATACATATATATACATATACGTATATTTTTATATATATTTTTATCTCTCCGGGCACTATCTGCCTCTGTTACTACTACTCTACGTATATCTGTCCTATTCTCTCTGTCTATATTATATACATACGTATTATATTTACACTATATATAATTATCAACTGATTATATACACACACGATTATGTTGCTGTGATATATAACAGTTTACTTTATATACCGACATGATCTGTTTCTGTGTGCCTGAACTGATCGATGGTCGTCGTGTCACATGATTGTCGTTCGTGTCGTGTTGTCATGCTGGCCATTTACGATTACGTTGATTTTTCCGTTTGATTATTCATCGATCGATCCATAAGTAAGATCACGATTACGCTCATAAATTTCATTCAAAGATGCCGAGAAACGAATAATGGCATCGTGCTCTTGCGTGATTTACAAAACCTCGCCTTTGGCAATTCCAGAACTTTACGCGATTTGAATGATCCTACTAGCAATCCGTCTCTCGCTGATCGCGTTGGATATTGCGCGTCTCTTTAGAATCTCGAAAGTATATATACCCCGGCATGCTCGATCGACTCGAAAGAAAAGAGAAAAAGAGAAGTAAGAGATAAATGCGCCATAAATGACAACACGGTTCTGTTCTCTTCTCTGTTGCTAGATGCCTGCATTGTGCCTGTGTCTGTCCCTGTCTGTCACTTAGACTCTAGACAACTACAACAACAACCACCACCATCACTAATGAACAACCAACAACATCAACTACAACATCAAAACAATCCACCGCATCTAGCCTACCAACAAGCGAATCACCACAGCTACACGACCGTAACCACGTCCAATCAGCATGGGCCCAGTCACTTGCCACCCGGCGGCGGTGTCATGGGTGCCCATCAGCAAGGTCCCGTACCGCCCCACCTTCAGCAACAGGTGAGTAAATTTCTTCGTCGCTTTCTTTCTCTATCTTTCTCTCTTTCTCGTGTGCTTTTTTCGTCAAATTCGTGTGCTTTTGTGCGCTTGTTCAGGTACATCGATGCTTTCACGATCGACGACTGTCCATAATCGGCAAGTCGTTGTTTATGTGTCATTATTGCCAATCTCCTTTTAAAAAGAATGGAGAGATTGAAATTTGAATTTTATCCAGACCAAGTCTAAGAGAAATTGTATATTCTCTTATTATAATTATTCTTTTAGACAAGGGGAAATTCTTTATTTTATTCATGTTATTTTGGCATATAGATAAAATATGGATATCGAATTTGAGATTATATAGAATAGAAGAAATTTATAGAAATCTTATATATTTCTGTGCGTTTGTATCTTGTATTTGTTGCTTTCTGTGCTTCATTGTCAGCTCTAACTCGCGGTTCTAACTATTCTTGTTGAATGATATTTGATTCTTTCGCATGAATGCAAGATATATATTATATATTGCAAAATATAAATATGTATATATGAAATATAAAATATATTAATCGTTTTACAAAATTATCAATTTTTTAGGATATTAATTTCTTTCAAATGTAACGTAGGTTGAAAAAAATAGGCAGTTTATTTTTTATTAGAAAAACTTGATTAAACTTGTTATTTGGTATAATATTTTTGCATTTTGCTTTTGTTGTATGTGCCTTTTTGTAATTTTGCAAATGTAAATTGCGTTTTATTGCGCAGCACATGAACTGTGTCAACGTATATGTCGTATAAACGCTTTATATCATATAGCATGTTGTACTATCGTCTCACTTGGCTTTTTGTGATACTCATTAAAATCGTTGCAATAGAAAATGTACTTTTTGCTTCGATAGACTGCTGGCGTGAAAATGTCCCACACTGATACATATTCTACAAAATTTATGACGAATCAGAAATATGACACAAACATCTTTATATAATATTCCTGTCTATCCTTATTTTATCTTCTTTGGACTATACATACGCCTCGTCTATCAACAACTCTCCTTATTTATTTTTATCATCAACTATTTTAAACTACAATGTATAGAACAAAGGTCATTGCATCTCTTTTTCGCATTGCCAACAATTACATTATTATTAGCGCGAATCGTAGAATCTTCAAAATGATAGAAAAGCCTCTTCTCGCGCATAAGTGACACTAGCGGAAGTATCCGGTAGAGCGCAATAGAAATAGGAAGAAAATAGAGATTAGAGAGTCTCTAGCCAAAAAGATAGATGTGGTTTATGGAATTAACATTCTAGCGATTGGACGAATTCAGCAAAGAGACGAAAAAAAAAAACAAGAAAATTTTTATATCTAAGGGAGAAAAAATCGTTTATCCACGTTTCTTTGTTCTTAGGGGAAGGGGAGGGGCGGCGTGGTCAATCGAGTCGCTGGTAGTAACATGCCAGGTGTGCAAGGCCAACACCTTCAACAACAGCAGCAAGACTATCAGGGCCAGCCAAATCAGCCGTATCAGCAGCAGCAGCAGCCGAATCAGCCGTATCAGCAGCAGCAGCAGCAGTCGAATCAGCCGTATCAGCAGCAACAACCGAATCTAGGATATCAGCAGCAACCGCAACAACAATTCCAACAACCGCAGCAGCAGCAGCAACAATCAGGCCAGCCGTTTTCGCAGCAGAATCAGCAGGGCGGACCTGGAATGCAGCCTCCTCAGAGCACCAGCAAGCCCATGAGAGGAATACCGGCGGTGCTACCGACGGCACAGTCCAAGACGCAACCTAACACGCAGCAGAATCAGCAGCAACAACAGCCACAACAGCAGAGTACCGGGCCGAACCTGATGCAGAAATTCACCGAGATGGCGGGCGCGAGTGCAGGTGGCGACATATTATCCAAGGGCAAAGAGCTGATCTTTATGAAGTTTGGATTGGGCAAGTGAGAAGGAGCGATCGTTGATGGCGCGACGACGATGATTATGATAATAATGATGATGATGATGATGATGATAACGACGACACGTTATCGCGATTGTTTTCGTTTCTTCCTTTTCGCGCTCGACGTCCATGTTTGACGCGTACGCAAGTTGTCGATTTCTCGACAAGTTGTGCAAAAAATCAGTATTATCACAAATGTTGTTTCACAGTGAAGGGAATACATAATAACGAGTAATCTCGCCGGATGTGTTGTTGCTGAAAACAAGGCGAAGGACGAAGAGGCGAAAAATCTGCGCCGCCATTGCTGCTGCTGCTGCTGTTGTTATCCGCTATTAATAACCGTTAATTGTGCGTAAATTGTGTTATAAAAAAAAGAGAAAGAAATCGTTGCTGGACAAATACAATCGAGGACGAACCTCGGAAGGGAGAAAGGACATTCGGTGGAGACCGCTCGGCATAGGGAAAAAGATAGAAGGTTTACGCCGAGAATTGACACTGACGATTTCATCGATCGAGAAGAAACAAGAGATACGTATGAGATTCATCAAACTTCTTCTTAATCCTCCTTCTCCAAAATCTTCTTCTTCTTCTTCTTCTTCTTCGCGCGACGGTAGGATCCTCGATCGGTGTTGCATGGTCTCTTAAAAAAAAAAATACTNCGTGTCTTATAAATCGCGTATCCACGCGACTATTTCTTCTAATCTCTCTTCGTCCTCTTCGAACCTCGCATTATTCGGAACCGCCATTCGATTATCAGAGCAAACAAACGTTCGCCGCGATTATATCGAATGCGAGAAAAGAAAAATGCGCGTATTAAAAAAAAAAAAAAAACGAGCGGAAACGAGTGCGCACTAGCGTAGTGAAACCAGAGAAGTCGAAAGCCGGATTTTTCGTCACGCGAAAAGAAGAGAGAGGTGGAGGCCGACCTAGAGAGGGATAACCATATCGTCGTATAGGAGTGAAGATGCGACAACAACATGGGTGTGCCTTGGAGAACCGTCTCACCCAGCAGCAACCAATAATCATATCTCTAATCGATAATTCTCTAGCTATTTTTTCCTTTCCTCGTGGAAATCGAGTGCTATATCGAGAGCCGTGGCGGCGCATACACAAATAAACGATGACGATCTCTCGTCTTGAGAATTTTCTCTTGTTCCCATGTGTGAATAGGTGTGTATGTGTGAGACTGGAAAAGCTCCTTTCCCTCTCTTTGCGTACCTCATACGTCCACCTCCCTATATTCTCCTCCTCCGCTTCTATTTTAGCATCCCCTTGGATGGACCCGCGCGCGTAGAATCGTCGCATTTGTGTCGCGAGAGAGAGAGAAAGAGAGAGAGAGAGATCTCAGTTCTTTGTATTTTCGGATGAATCTCGGGTTTGGGATCGCTTGTTCGATCAAGAAAATCGATTTGTTGTGTCCAAAGGTTGAACGATGATGGGACCGTTTATCGTCTGGCCGTCGTAAACGGCGCACAAAAATCGGACGTGAAACCGAGCGACGACGGACACCAATGAAACGCTAACGTGAAATACTACTACTCGATCGTTCGATTGAGGCGTGCGAATCGGCCGCGTATCGAGCGATGACTATATATCATAACTGTGTGGGTGTGTGTGTGTATGTGTGAGACAGGCGAGATGGAATGAGAGATCATAGCGTGTACGCAAGTATTAAATAACTTTGCAATAGTTAAATATAATATATGTATATATGTATATATATATATATATATATATATATATATATATATATATATATATATATATATATATATATATATATATATATATATATATATATATATATATATATATATATATATACATATATATATATATATATATATATATATATATATATATATATATATATATACATATATACATATATTATATTTAACTATTGCAAAGTGTTGTTACATCGCTACTTGTATCGTATTTTGTACAAAGTATCTTTACCTTCGATTGTTTTCTTTCGCCAAGATATCTTTAATGAGGAAAAAAAAATATGGCGGAGAAAGAGCGACGAATCTTTTCTGGATTCACTGTCGAGTCATCATCATTATCATCATCACGTAAAAATAATCGTCGCGCCTACCCTTCAACGCGATCTTGTATTTAATTGTTATTACTCGCGTCTACACTTGTACTCGCTCTTCATGTATGTTTTTTCGGCGACAGTGAATATACATATATGTATATATATATATATTAGATATATACTTAATAGAAGACACTGAAAGCAGCTTGGTGTTTTTTTGCATACAGATATATATATATATATTAGATATATACTTAATAGAAGACACTGAAAGCAGCTTGGTGTTTTTTTGCATACAGATATATATATATATATTAGATATATACTTAATAGAAGACACTGAAAGCAGCTTGGTGTTTTTTTGCATACAGATATATATATATATATTAGATATATACTTAATAGAAGACACTGAAAGCAGCTTGGTGTTTTTTTGCATACAGATATATATATATATATTAGATATATACTTAATAGAAGACACTGAAAGCAGCTTGGTGTTTTTTTGCATACAGATATATATATATATATTAGATATATACTTAATAGAAGACACTGAAAGCAGCTTGGTGTTTTTTTGCATACAGATATATATATATATATTAGATATATACTTAATAGAAGACACTGAAAGCAGCTTGGTGTTTTTTTGCATACAGATATATATATATATATTAGATATATACTTAATAGAAGACACTGAAAGCAGCTTGGTGTTTTTTTGCATACAGATATATATATATATAGCGAGACAAGCTCGAAATTTTTAGAAGAAAGAAGCACCGCGTAGAGGGAAATAATCATTTCTGTTAAAAATGAAACAATCTCTATAGATTCAAGATCGTAATTTAAGCCTTTCATCTCTATCAGGACACATCAGCTATAATGATTTTCTTAGGGAAAGGGAGGAAAAGAAAATGTGTGTAATCTCATAATAATGTTACGCGATTACACTTTGTTAAAGTTTAGAATGTTAAATATTCGAAAGCTGAATTGAGAAGATTAATTCTGCGATTTAAAAAAAAAATAATACGAAATAATGTAAAAAAAAAACGACGCATAATGGGAACATCATGTATACGTCATTATGGACCAAAGCAAAGCCTCTCGCATCAGGAAATTTAAATTTATTGTCTAAGTAAAAATTAATTAAATAGCTAATTTTTTATTTAGTACGTGATAAGCCTTGTCCACATTAGCTATTTTATGATTTTAATAGTTTGTCGTTGTATCAATCGGACAGGTTTTTATATGTAAAAAGGAAAAGTTTATCAAAAAGCCGGAATAACGAAGATGATCAGAGAGGTGCTATATATTGAGATACATATGTGGAAAGATTAATTAAAGAAGACGGATGGTATCTCCCTGACGCGGTGCTTTCCTCATCAGGCAATCTTGATCGATTACACTTGCATCGAGCGAGTCTGTCCGAATCAAAAGTATATCATGACAGATCTCGAGATTTTCTCTTTTTTTTTTGCTTTTTTCGTTTTATCGTCCAAATTTGCCGCGCGATTTGGCAAGACAACGGTACTTAAATGCGTTCAACGAGCTTGATCGATTGATCAGATCCAGTGGTGTAGCGTCGGACGATCATGCGAGATTTTATTTTAATTGCGAGATGAATCCGCGACGATGTCAACTACGTACGTAATGAGTCTTCATGAACGCTCGCTAAATTATTTTCGCTTCTCTTGTATATTTTTCGATTAGATAATTGTACATAAATTCGCACTTGCAAGCGTAAGAAGAAGGAAAATATTGATGCTCGTTTATGGAACTACACGACTGGATACGGGTGGTTGACAGAATTGAAAAGTTCTTTTCGTTTGTAGAATACGTCCCTTCATGCACACGCCAGCTTCTGATGCGACTTTGCGTTTATTATCTTCTTCCTCTACACGCGATTTGCTCTTAACTATTATAATAACACCGTTATTCATATCCGAAATCGTAATCTTGATTCAGGCGATGTGAAAAAAAAAGACTGATACCGAAGTTTCCAATGCGCCCCTTTCTCCCCCCTTTCCGCGAATGTTATAACGAGTACCAAAACACTAATAGAGTGAGTGTTTGTATCTCTCGTGTATATCGCAATCGTTATATGTGTTTTCTCGGTTGTCTCCTACGTTTTCGTATCTCTATAGTATATAGCCATATATAGTACTTTCGCGCGAGCGAGAAAGTATACATGTTTGTTACGAAGTTTAAAAAATTGATTATAGGCGTAAAAAAAGGAAAAAGAAAAGAGAGCAAGAAATATATATACGGGAGCACCGAAACGAGATGTTAAGCGAGCGGGGTTTCAATAAGAGAGGGAGCGAATTTTTGAAGGAGAAAGAAAAAAAATGTGAGAGAGAAGGAAGAAAGAAACAGAGAGTAATTTATGCAGCGCGCATTAGTGCTTTTACTTACGGTACAAAGTCGAAGAGAAAGAGAGAAAGAGAAAGAGAGAAAAGTAAGCATTTTTACTTATCATTCGTTAGACTTTTAGATACGATCATCTAAAACGCACCCCCTATACGACTTTCGCGCGAACGAACTTTGTTGTGTATCTCGCGTTCAAATGGATCATCCGCAATCCTTGTCCCTTGGTCCAGACCAAGTGCTAGCGATCGATAAACGAGAACAATAAAATAGCGAGACGCGACGCAACGATCTTTCCGCAGATAGGATCATGCGACGTTAAAGCTCATCAAAGCTCGTCAAAGCTCCTGATCCGTCATTGCGTTATAATATCTCGCGATCATTGGATTACAATAAATCATATCTCGGTGGCAGAAAATTATATATTATTTTCTCTTGTATCTACAATCGCGGAATAATTGATTTCTCTTTCTTTGTAAGTCGTTACGCCTATAAAATACGATTCGCGTTTTCACCGCATAAACTATGAAATTCGTGTATTATTAAGTCTTTTTGTTACATTTGCGCTATATTCAATATATAATTAATATATAATTAATTTAAACGATTCACAATTCTGGCTCAAAGTAGAAAATAACGGATAACTTTTTCGTCTAATTTAGGATTCATTTTCTACCGCAATGACGAATCATCAGCGTTAACCGACTATACAGGACTGGACAGAGCTGGATTCCTCGGGATCGCGTTTATATTAAGACTCACGCCTATTTCACTGTATATTCTCATCATTATCGACTTAGAAGCTACTGAATGGACGATCCGTGTAGCTCTTTTGATATCGCGGCAATCGACGTCGGAAAGAAAATCGTCGATCCAGCGAGCGAGCGAATTCTCGAAATACTGAAAGGAACGCAGATGCGCCCAATGAATCCTACTTTTTCCGGACGTTTTTTTCGGTAGATACTTTTAGGTGTAAGGCACTGGGTTAATTCCACCTACTAGGTGTCGAATAGAATAGAATATAATGCCCATCCCCCTCCGCCCTCTTCCTTCCTCCCACACATACATACATCTCGATAGTAAAACATTTCACAAACAAAAAAAAAGATGTGGTTGTTTATTCTTGAAAAATTGTACAATTTTTGCGCTGGAAGTAAATAACATTCAAAGATTATGTTCGAGTCTTACTTTCCAAAATATTTATATTCTAGATTCGAAAAGATCTCTGTCGATCGAAATTGAGAAATTTCCGAACTCTCTGTGGGTATTAATCTTAAACGGACGCCAGGGCGATCCAATGAGATCGACGACTCTCTCTCCTGGGATCCGTGGACCTTTGTTTCGTAGGAAGACTCCACTAACAGAAGGAGAGAGCGCGCAATAAAACGAATCAAAGTGACTGACAGATGGACGGTATAAGAAGAGAAGATTAGAGAATCCGGACGATATTAATTAGTCGCCAATTATTATCATTCTTTTTCAAGATATTAAGGATATGAAGAGGTGCAGAAGGTACCGCAAATCGACTGTATACACGTACGACGTTTTAATATAAAAAAGGAAAAAAAGAAAATATCACATCGTTTCTTGAGCATGTCAAGAGAAAGAGAGAGAGAGAGAGAGAAAGAAACGCCAGCTACGTTTGTCATTCAGTAATCTTGCGCTTTGTTTTTTTCTATAAATCGGTGCGCGTAACGAATCTCATTCCTTGCTAGGCCGAAGTGAGAAATAAGAAACAGGAAGACAAAAAGCTGCTAAATACATGTAAGAGAAAAGGGAGATTTAAAGAAAAGAGAGCCCACAAAAACACACACAATGTTATTATAAACGATTAATTAATAAAAAACGAATCTTGTTTGTTGTTACTTCTGGTATACCTCGTTGTATGAACTAATGACGTTAATTTCATTCATTCTACATAGCATTAAATCGATTCGTTTTTTGTTCTTTTTCTATTTCTCCTGAGAGTTGTACTACGTTTACGATTTTTCCACTGTTGTAGATATCGTAAGCTTGAAATATTGAAGCGAGAGAACGGGAAAATAATCGATCCAGTCGAAGAAACCGGGATGTGCTCAATCTTTATTTAGCGCGTCATCATAATGAGGGACGAGTATACAATATCGATCGCGTCGAAGAGTATTGAGGGACTAAGAACATTTCTTTTTCGTGTAACGATGAGACCATATTCGGCGATGTAATCTACGTGTCTTCCTCCCAGACGGTTTCCGTCAATATGGCAATGTTATCCAGGCCGCGCATCGGCGCGTACTCGAGCGTCCACATCAAGTTCGTGAAAACAACTGCGACAATGTTATAACAAATAAATTATCAACAAGAAAACACATCGCAAACAATGTCGTTATCAGTATTCACGAAAACGTATGAAACATATAACGATAAGTTCGATAAGCAAAAATATCAATTCCAAAAAGAAAAAATTCGCTGACTTTATCACGCTCAATTTTGGAATGGATCCTCTACAAATCAAGACATACTTTATTTGATTTTCAAGAAAAATATGTAGAATTGAAAGTACTTGGCTATTGTAAACTGAATTCTTCATTGCGAGATAGAAATTGTATAGCATGCACATCTCCCCGCGACAGAATACGATTAATTCGAAAATCTCTCGATTCCTCGCAGCAAGTGATTGACAATATTATCGCAGACAATACCGAAATTTTATGACGATAATTTAAATTGAGATCGTGTGAAATATATATTGGAGAAATTCGATTCATTATATCCCAATCTCCTGTTTACCCACAGCTTTAGCCGGAAATACGAAACACCTTTTAGCCAGCAAATTGAATTTCAACGCAAGTATAATAATTTGTAATTATATAAAACATACTTCGATAATTATATAACTCACGTATATAAAAACTTGAGAGTGTGTGCTTCTTTCAGAACGCTGGTCAGTTACCATATTAAAGGTGTTCCGTACTTTAGTCCGATTTGAGTCGCGCAGCACTTACGCATCTCGCCCTGATGCAAGTCGGCGATTAGCTCCGGGCACGAGCTGTTGCAGGGATTAATGGGAGTGAGCCGCAACTGAGTCGCGCCGCGAAGCTGTGCGAGCGCGATCAGACCTGAGTCGAGTTCGACCTTCTTGTAGCTCGGGCTGTTGTAATCCGAGGACATGAGTACCCAGTTGAAATGCGCTGGCGAGACCGTACTGGAAAGGAAGTACGGCCGCTGGTAGTATTTTCTGAGCACCTTTACAGCGTTGATGTCGCAGTTCTGCCAGTGGACGAACCATTTGGCTACCTCGGGCGCGTGTACGCGTCGTAGAAAGGCCGCGAGATCGGACGAGCCAGTACGCAGATTGGAGGTCAGAGCGCAGGGTACCGTCTCCATCAGCCGTTCGTTCTCCAAGTAGAGCTGTTCACGTCAAGATATAATCGGTTTTTTTTTTTCATAGCTCGCTTTTGACAAAAACGAATCGAGAAAAGATAGTCTTATCTTTTAGATGATGAAGCTACTACTTACGTGGGTAATATTGTCGAACCAAAAGTAATCGGTATTCATCACCGCCCATGAGTCCATCGCGTCGGTGATGATAGCCGGTGCATCGCGGCTCAGATAATTATCGACCAGATTACGATACCGCACATCCGACAGACGATCAATCGTCTCCAGCGCCTCGCAAGTCTACGAGAAAGTGTTCTGATAATTTTTTTCTCCGAGCAATAGCTATATTCTTAGATCCTAAAAATACAAAGCGCACCACGCAGTCCTCCTCCGTGATAGTGTAATCATTGTAGAAGGGATTGTTGATCATGCAATTCTCATAATAGAGCGGCTGCCAGTTCCAGATTGGCAACACCTTGATCAGCAGCAGACGACTGAGGGCGGTGAAATGCGTGCCGACGAAGTCAAGCTGCGCCGCGAGGCACGCCAGAGTACCGAGCACTATCAGTACCAGGGTGCCACGGAAGACGAGTTGCAACCACGAGCGACGCATCGCCGCTACGAGCGGCTGGCAAATAATGTCCATTTCCTCCTCGGTGAAGCCTGCCTGCTGGCAATATCTGTAAGGAAACTTTAAGCTTGACAACAGCTAATAGCGAAAAATTATTACAATAATTTTTTTCTTTATATAGAGAGAAAAGAAATTTTCTTTCTGAAAAGAAAAGAGATGACATAATCGTAGGAAAGTGTCTCGAAACTATCGCTGGTCTCTCGCTTGATATAAACTTAAGATGATAAAACTATCGCATATGAATATTTTTTTATTAATTTTTCCGATTTTTCTTTGTAGGAATAGGATAAAAATAACTTTCGCAACGGGGCGATTTATGATAAGACGATCCCATAAAAATGATTCCAAAAAAATGCCGCAAAAGTAGCTCGTTACTTGTAAAAGGAATTAAGCTCATCGTCGATCAGTCTCAGCTTCTCGGAGTGCGTCATCTCGTGCTGCTCCTTATTAGCGTACGTTTTCCGCGGTTGCTTGATGCACTTGCTGCTCGACATGATGACTCGATGGATCTTCGCGTTTGAGTGCAAGATAAAAGCGATCGTGTGTTCCTCTCGAAGCGGGCGGCAAAAATTCAGGACCGGTGGCAGAATGGAAACGAATGCGTTGTCGCTATCGAACTAGGACTGTGTGTGCGCGCGCTTGTATCTGCCAACGCGATATATTGATCGTCGGATGCGCGCATGGACGCGGGAATACCGAGACTGTTTCTCAAAATTTTTTATCGAGTCTCTCTCTCTCTCTCTCTCTCTCGTTCTCTTCCTCCAATCTACTTTTCCTTTCGATAAGCGAGGTACTTTACACGCCGAATAGCTCGCAATTTTTTACGCAATACGTGTGTCGAACGTGTACGTGCGGATGATGAAAATTTGACATAGGAGTGCAGTTTTAAAACGTTCATTTTTTACAGAGCTAAACTTTTAATATATTAAACTTGCAATATATTCAGGTGATTATTACATTATTGTGATTTATCTATTTTTTAACAAAATATTTTTTTTTTAATTAAAAAAAATGATAGGCATGTGCCGAGCTAAATAAGATGCTCTTGGTGCATTACTGTATGTCTGGCTGTTTATGATTTTAAATAATTTTAATATAACACAATCGCTGATATCGCGGTTCATTCATAATCTCGAATTCTCTCTTAATCTCGATGCACACGCGGTTGCTTGTTCTATACGTCAACTTTACCGGCCGGTGATATCAAAGACATATGATGATAATATATATAGACATATATAGTTCGGAGTTTGCTAGTCATTCTTGCCGACTCTTAAATGTTATCTGTATTTTTCGTATTTTATCTCGGAGAAAAAATATTTTCTCATGTAACTTTTTTTAATGTATTCCTTGTATAATTAGAATTTGACATAGAGTGTATATATATGTATATAATGAATATATATGGAGTCGTGTTCTGATCAAAGTTTCAAAGTTCGTTTTAATTTGTTGTACGCGCTTCATAAAACAAGTTCTACAATTTTTCTACAAGTTTAATGTCAATATAAACAACAATGGCGATGTTGTGCTCGAGATTACTTGGTAAATACGCACATTAGACATTTTTCTAAATATTATTTATAAATATTTTCAGAGAAAGAATATATATATACATGGACTGTATATATTATTATTATTCTAATGTATCATTTGCAGCAAATGTCAATAATGTGTCTAGAGGTACTGCCAGCCGTCACATTGCCTCACTTTCTATGTTGCCAGATACGTATCAGATGTTATACAAAACATGCAGGTATACATTGTAGTTTGTACGAGATTTCCTACATAGAGATGAATTAAATGTATATGCTATGCATAGAAATGTCCTGCTCGATATAGTTATATAAAGTGTATCAGCTTTGTCATGGAAATCTTATAATTGCAGAGACTTTGCCGAAAATGAATTGAAACCCATTGCAGCAGAGGTTGATAAGAAACATCTCTTTCCAAAAGAACAGATCAAGAAAATGGGTGAACTGGGTCTCATGAGTTTGTGCATTCCCGAAGCATTAGGTGGCACAGGACTAGATACCCTGGCCTATGCTATAGCCATGGAGGAAATTTCAAGAGGTTGCGCATCTGCTGGAGTTATAATGAGCGTAAACAATTCTCTCTATCTAGGTCCTATAGACTATTTCGGGACTGACAAGCAGAAAGAAAAGTACATTACCCCCTTTGTGACTGGAGAAAAGATTGGTTGCTTTGCGCTGAGCGAACCAGGCAATGGATCCGATGCTGGTGCTGCATCTACTGTCGCTAAGGCAGACAGAAACACTTATATAATTAATGGCACCAAATCGTGGATAACGAATGCATACGAAGCCAAAGCAATAGTTCTCTTCGCGACGACCGACAAGTCTAAAAAACACAAAGGTATAAGCGCTTTCATAGTCGATAAACCGACAACCGGTTTGAGTTTGGGCAAAAAGGAGGACAAAATGGGTATACGAGGAAGTAGTACTTGTTCCTTGATCTTTGAAGACTGTCAAGTATCAAGAGATAACATCTTAGGCGAACCAGGAATGGGCTTTAAAATCGCGATGATGACTTTAGGTACGCAAGTAATCGTGCACACGAATTTTGAGATAATTCTAATGTAGTGTCCTCTTTTCTGCAGACAGTGGCAGAATAGGAATTGCCGGACAAGCTTTGGGCATAGCTCAGGCATCCCTGGATTGCGCGATAGATTACGCAGCGAAACGCCAAGCCTTTGGTCAGCCTATCATGAAACTGCAGGCGATTCAACAAAAAATTGCCGACATGGCTCTGAAACTGGAAAGCTCGAGGTTATTGACATGGCGAGCGGCGCAACTCAAGGATAACGGCAAGTCGTATACAAAGGTGCATTTAAAATAATTAAATATTCATTAAATTTATACCATACAATATTCGCTTATCTTATTAAATGTGATGTTCTTTATCTTATCGCGCATGTAACATTTATTTTTTTCATTTAACATGAAACTTTGTATATCTTATTCGATTCATAAAATTGTTCTTGCATTCTTCTCAATGGCAAAATGAGAATAATTTATTCTTACATTTTTTTTTGCACATCCACATATCCATAATTTCTCATTTATTAGGAAGCCGCTATGGCAAAACTTTCCGCATCAGAAACCGCCACATTCTGCGCTCATCAATGCATACAGATTTTGGGAGGGATGGGATACGTATCAGACATGTCAGCGGAACGTCATTACAGAGATGCACGTATCACGGAGATCTACGAGGGCACGTCGGAGATCCAGAGACTCGTGATCGCCGGAAATCTTATCAAAGAGTATGGTCTCTGAATCGAGATCGCATGACTCGTACATATACGTAAGATAATCCTCCTTTTTGGTATTTTTTTTTCTTTTTATACTCAAATCTCAAAATATATATATTTTGAATGTACTGTATTTATATTAAATTGTATATATATTCAATTATATATATATATATATATATATTTTTTTTTATATATGAAGAAATATTGAAATAAATTTCAGATACTATGCCTTCTAATTTTATTAACTTTTGACTAAATATACGTGACTGGATCGAGAGCATACGCACATACGCGCACACACATACACATACACGTATGTGTGCAAAAAAAAGGAAACACATATACATGTGTGCATATATACATATATACACATACACATTGTTAGCCCTTTGGCAGCGATACGGAATTTTCTCTCCACGACTTTTCTCTACCCTGCTTGTCATACATCTCAGCAACAGCTAGAGTCTATCTATTTAAGTAACTGTAATCGCATAGGATAACAGTCGTAGTAGTGTAAACCCGCGCACAAATGTGAAACTCCTGTCTATCGAAACGGGCGACGCAATCGTGGAACAAAGATTCGTTAAAGTTATAGCATGTTTAAACGACTGATCTATTTTTCCTTGTTGAGGAAATAGCGAATAAATTTATGTGTCCAGTTTTCTCTCTCTTTCTCGCGCGCGTGTATATCTAATATATCGAATACAAATATCTATTATGTGCATCATCGTGGCTACCACTGTTTGTAAGTGAATACGAAGATAAAGCTATGTCTTAGACTATGACTCTATTTGCCTTCCAAAATAATACAGAGAATACATTTATTTTGTGCAAATGACAGTTAAATTATATATTTTATTACTGTTTTTAATCTTTAATCACATTTTTAATTAGAGATCCTATCGCTATGTGAGAACGCTGCTGTTACGATTGCATATTTATTTAACCCATTAAAAGACGTTTACTCCCACAAAAAAATACGCAAGTTTCAAGATATCTAGCAATTCTGTTCTCGTGTCGACAGAAATGCGCCATTACATAAACACTTATCACTTGTCGCATATCTTTTTTCGATATATTAAGAAAAAGAAAATTGCGAATCTAAGCATAATTGTGTCGCTTGTAATGAGTTTACGAGCAGCGTTCCAGAATACTTCGTCGGTTGTACTCGGAGATCCATTGGAATGCAAAGAAACATTACATATAATGCCATTTGAATTCGAATTTCATTGCCATGTTTTTTTTTTCTTTCTTTTTATATACAATAACGCACCCTTTCATGCTGTTCACCCGTTGTCACCAATATTGAAATAGCCTAAAACTGCTTCTCTACATATGTGTGTATATGTATATCTGGTGTGAGCATTTTACATAGAATACATCACCTTTTCTCCATTCACATTAAATAATTTAGGGTATAATGTTAATATTACTGTTAGAGTCGCAGTATACTTAAAAAATCCATCAGTTTGGTTCTAACTTTTTAGAAGATTAATACATTACACGTCTCGCGCTAGTCGAGAACGAACGTGGAAAAACAGAATGTTATATAAATCGGTATTAATAGTAGTACCGTATTTCGTGTGATCAAAGATCCCACGGATCAAGAATTCCGCTGTAGGAGCATATTTAAAATCCTTGAAACATATTTTTGTGTGAATCAATTTCCTGATCGCACATATACTTTCGCAAGTTTGATAAAATACTCTCGAAATCTCTTCCGAAAATACACGATCACATTTCTGTCTGAAATAATAATAGCTCGAAATATGGATCATTAATATGTAACATTTAGATTTTTTCAATTGTACATTAATATATATATATATATATATATATTAAACAGTGGATTTTTTTTTAACTATTTAACTACGATCAAACTTGCAAAGTTAAATCACATATTTTCTTTGTTATTTTTATGTACTTTGCAGCAAACATTTTTTTTCGTTTGTTAATGAATTTTAATAACTATTATTATCGAACTACTAACTGCTTTTAAGTAATTGTAACTTTTTATCTATAGTGGTTTTTATGAAACCAAATTTTCTTTCTTTATAATTATGCATTAAATGAGAACCAGATGATCTGATTCTTTTCATTTTTCTTTCTTTCATAATAATAGATACATAATAATAAAAATAATATAATAATAATAATAATAATAATTATAGATATATTTATCTAAAACGCTTGTAAATGTAAAATAAATTAAAATTGTAAGTAATTTTTTCTGTAATAGACACTGAATCTAGACACGTAAATTCTGGAAATTGTCCGAATCCTGTGGAATCGTCTATGACAGAGCGTAACAGGGTGTACATCTGTAAGTATGCGTATGTATTTGTGTTGACATGTATAAGGAAATTGATTTAACCATTCATAACAGAAGCTATCATAGTCTCAATCATCAGCGCGCATACCCCGCACTTCTCCTTGATGTCTTTGCTGTAATTAAACACATAAAGAATGTTTCAAGATAAAATAGGAAGTTTCTAACACCTAATAATTTGAGAATTCGTGCGCAGAGTAAGATCATCGAATAAATTATAAGAGAAAGAATCGATCGAAGAGAAAGGCAAGATCCTTACCCTGTCTAATTCTTCTTTTGTATTGTCTTCAATAGCTCTAATATCCTCCATGGTTAAACCATGCCAGCGATCCATCCAGCAGAACACTTGCCTATGAAAATTGGTGAACAGGCGCCGTTCTGCTTTCTGAATGAACCCTTCAACACGGGTCTGCAGACCAAACCATTTGAATTCACAAGTGACTAGCTTGTAGCATGTCATCACAGGCTGAACATTATGTTTCCAATCCTTTCCTACGAGAGGACCTCGTCCCGTCTTCTGAGACTTGAATTTGGTCGGATCCTCGTCCTCCTTATGATCGGCACTGGCGACCGGGTCATTTGCAATATCTATGTGTACTACCTCTCTAATCTTGAGCTTATCGGGCGGTAATTCGTGAACCTATTTGTGACAAAAGGTACAATGCAAACAACTAGAGATAATACTCATCGAAGCTCGTGTGTACTTACATTATGCTGATTGCCAACATCGCCAATATGAAAGGATTCTATCATGATCACAAAATTATCCTTCATATATCCTGGATTCTAAAAAGATAAAAGTAACGTTTACGAAAATGTATCTATATTTAATCTCTTATGTAACAAAAATAATAATGTGTATATATATCAACACACTTACAGTTATGACTGTTTTACAATAGGGATAAGCGTTCCAAGCCTCTTCATGGATCTCTAGTGAGTTCTTTGGCAATAAAATGCGAATGAAAGCAGGCACTTTGCTAGCTAAGTGATAAATCTTGTATGTGTATTGGCCTGACGAGTACTTTCCTCCGAGTAGCGGGTAATCTGTGAATGGCTCATTCTTCAATACTTCAATGCCTTCTCCGCCACCCGTGTTATTTTTACTAGCCTCTGCTACAGAGTACAGTTGAGCTACTTGATACTGTTAATAGAAAAACAGGTTATGAATCTTGGGTACAAAGTTTCCAAAGAGGCAAATATAAAGATACATAATTGCATAATCTGCCCGTAGGCAAAGATAATATATATATAAACTCATTTTTTTAAAAGGCGCACATATTTATTCATGCCTTTTTTTTTACATTTACTCATTACTATGATTCAGTAATTTAAATCACAAAAAGAAATAATTTATATTCATATCTAGCTAAAGAATCAAATTTGCATGTAACACAAATTGAACTATATAGAGATATCTTTTCCTTATAGATATCATTTTATTATCTAAGATGAATAAAGAATGAATAGAGATATAGAAACAATCTATATAACAGGTAATAATAAAAAGTGCTTATATGACAATAAAAAGGTTTCAAATTATAATTTGCATCATGATTTGTGCAAAATAATTCTATGTAAGAATTCAGACATATAGAATCATGCAAACGACAATTAGATGATTGGCATATTTTCTAATTGCATAGTAATGTTGAAAAACTGATTTTAGATCGTCTGTTTTTTTCCTTTTTTTTGCAATCTAATCATCCTTGGGTCTATATTAAACTGGGTCATTATGAAGAGCAGGACCTTTCTGACAGATCAGACACGTACCTCTTCCACTGTGAGGGGCAGAGTGACACGGCTGTAACAAACAAGCAATAAGTTATGTCAGCATTATGTCAGACAAGGAAGAAAAGAAAAGACGAAGGAGATGACGGTAACGTAATCGTGGCCTTGAGTCACGTTTCCCGCATCACAGGACGGGGGGCACGCGTTGCTGGCGCAAGATGCAATATCGCTCGGCCGATCTTAATTAAATCAAAAATCGAAAGCGATCGATAAAGTTTGAAATTTACAATTGACTGTATATCAATCCGCATCGTACTCTGATCGGTGATCCAAGGAAGCCCGAAAAAAATCCGAGGCCTGCTGAAAAGTTTCAGTCGTGCCTTTCTTGCACATACTTTCTGTCTTTAAAAGGAAACAGATTCACAGACTTTGAAGAGAAAGAAAAAGAGAGAGAGAGAGAGAGAGAGAGAGAAAGAGATAGAGATAGAGAAAGAGGAAGAATAGGAACAAGGTGCAGAGAGTGCAACTGAAACGAACAGACCTCTGGAATCAGGCGGTAAGGGATGAGAGGGTCACCATCCCTCCCCACCGTCTCTCTTCCTTCATCCCCCTCCAGTTATCAGTCACCGTTAAAGATTAGTAATAATCGCCACCCCATCGAACGGTTTTGAAGTTAGGCTAAGTCGGTTCGGCAAGATACGATTAAACGAAAATTCGGATATGTGGCGCGCACACCTGACAGCCACCTCTCCCCGCGTCCCCTTTCCCATGCCCCGCTGCGCCCCCGTACCCGTCTCGCGCTCGTCACTTACAATTCTTTGATAAGCATTTTAGGCAGAAGAGCACATGGACCAGTCAGCGCGCCAGATCAGCAGACGACTCGGATCCGCCGACGATAAGGAGTAGCAGCAACAGCACCGCCACCACCGCCGTTAACACACCAACCACCACCTCACCACCCTCGTAAAACCCACAGCGGATTCGCTCGCGCTATCGGCTCGCTCGTTGCTGAGTCATACACGAATAACCCGGAACGCCGCGAGACTTGCCAACCGACTGACACACTCTGACCACCGCTGGCTGCCCCACGGTCCGCACACCGAGCAACCGCACCGCGACGACCGCGCCGAACGAGCCTACACACACTTGCGCGCGCGCCCGCGCACATGTGTCGAGTCCACCCCTCTCCCCTGTCTTCTTCTCCTCCTCGTCTTCCTCATCATCATCCTATCCCTTTCTCTCTTTTCCCGCCGTCGGATACGTTTGTCCGATTCTTCCCCTCTATCCACTCCACCCCATCCCGCTCGACCCGACGAACTTTGCCGATGACGTCATTCCAGCGAGATATTAAACGCGCATGCGCATTGCTGGTATACGATCGTGTCATCTTCCTATATTTAAGATATACAGTTTGGGGAGAATATTCGATATTTCGTGCTTTTATATATACGAAATTGTTATGTAATTGCGGCGCGTGGCGACAAACAATGATAGCGACTTTCGTTCTCGTTGATATTTGTAGGAAATATAGAGCGGATAATTTCAAATTAATCACGAATGATACGTTACGTACCGCGATGAATTTTCGTGCTTTTAATAACGAGCGGAAATATGTTGGATGCACTGGCGTGCGCATTAAGGGCGAGTTCACAGATGTTTAATCTTTCTATGTGCTTGTTCGGAAATTCGCCTTTTAGAAAGAGACAGTAGAGAAAGAGAGAGAAATATATATACATATAAAATTTGCCCTCAGAATCACCTTAAACTCATAGCATGTAAGTTGATATAAGAACGTATAGGGGTGTGTTAGGGATAAGTATGTTTAAAAACGTAAGAGAGAGAGAAAGAATTTCGAGAATTCAGATATGATATAATATTAGGCTACAATAATTCTTTTTAAGTTTTTCGAAAATAAAATATTCATGAAAAGAAAGAGATAGAATACAACAAAAACATTGTCATCGGATATGCAGAGAAAAAAAGTACATAAATCTAACAATAAGATTATTTCAATCAAAGGCATGTTCAATAACATATTGAGAGCGACCTAGTATATATGTATCATGTATATATATAAATATATATCGTCAACAAACAAAATAGAAACTTAAATAAAAGCTCATTCACGAAGGCTTATACATACATTTCTAACTTGCCGACTTACTGAGATAAATTTTGAAAAATTTTGTTTTAAATATTACACGATTCTATATTAATATATAATATAGATAAATATAAGCAAAAGAAAGAATCTTATCGGTCGACTATTCTTATGACTAAAGATCATTTCGACAAAACTCTAATTAACTTCTTTAATAATATATTAATATATAATATCTGACAAAAAATTATATCATAATTAAATTTCTAACTATATAAATTCGTCGTTTCTGATCTATTCCTTCTTTGATATCATATGCTGTTTGGTTTCCAACGCGTTAAATAATAAAGACTGATAATTTTATATTCTATATGAACAAAATACTATAATTTGATAAGTTGATCGCAGTTTAAATTCGGCTGCTGTTGATTGGTAGATCTATAGCGTGTCAAGTGTCAACATTCAATTGGCGCACGAGGGCTGAACGATTTGAGAGAAGCCGATTTCGAGTGGCGACGTGTCTTGTTCATATATCGAAACGAATTTGCATAGCTTTTCCGCGATTTTGCGCTATCGACGATGATGAGCAACGAGGTCACAATCGACGACGTAAGTAACTTTTATCGATGACGTAAACTTTCTCAGGCGATATTGCGATGCACATGCATTCTTTCTTGCAGTTTCCCGCTTTGAGGTTGAAGCATGTGCATATTAAGGATGAAGTTATACTTCTAAAGACAATAAATACGATTTTGCGAGGTGGCACGGATAATCTGCAGGTACGCTCTCTCTTATCTGTTTCCTTTTTTTTTCAAAATTATTCTTTTAACAATATAAATTTTTTTTATTAATTTATATAATTATCTGCATAGGTGGTCACAGATTTCGACTTAACGCTTACGAAGCAACACATAGATGGAAGACACATGCTTAGTAGTTTTGGTAAGCACATGGTAATTTATTATATTAAATATTAAATAAATATTGCATTTAGATGTAATTATTAAATATGTATCAAATTTTTAAACAAATACAATTAGATGTTCATTAATATCTTAACTTTGATTGGAATGTATATAATAACTTAATATGATTTTAGGTATGTTCAGAAAATGCAAGCAATTACCGCAACATTATTCGGATGAGGCTAAGTGCCTGTACGAGAAGTACAGACCCATAGAGATAGATCCAAATTTATCCCTGACTGAAAAAGCAGATGCTATGCGCGATTGGATGACTGCTGCACACAATATATTAAAAGGCATTGAGTTCGATCGTCGCGAGATAGAAGAGGTAGCCCAAGAATGCGGCAATGTTTTACGTGACGGTACAAAAGAGATTTTGGAGAAGCTATATAATGCAGGAGTGCCGATTGTAGTGTTTAGTGCCGGCTTAGGAGATATGGTGGAAGCTGTGTTGAAATACAACAATGCTCTCTTTGATAATGTAAAAGTAATCTCCAACTTTCTAAAGTACAAAGGAAATAAATTGGATGGGTTTAACAATGACGTGCTTATACATGTCTACAATAAAAATGAATGTGCAGTGGCGAAAGATCATTTAACGATACTCGGAAAGAGGCAGAATATATTGTTAATGGGCGATACGATTGGCGATGCTAGTATGGTAGACGAAATAGAAGACACCAAGACAATTTTAAAAATAGGATTTCTATACGAACATGTAAGTATCTCAAAGTGGAATATCAAGTGTAATATAATTAAAATGTAACGAATGATAACTAATTTCTTCTGTTTTCTAGGTGGAGGCTAGCTTAGACTCGTTTATGGAAAAGTTCGATATCGTTCTCGTCGATGATCAAACGATGCGAGTGCCGATGGAGATATTACAAAGTATTTTATAATATCTGTATCAATTAATACTCTTTTATACTCGCGTGTATGTATACATGTACATACCTATAAAAATGCTAACATATGTGTTTGCATACATGACCACTCTGTAATTCAGAGTACAAAATGATTTGTTTTACCTTTCAAATGAGACTATAATTCAAATTAATTTAAATATATTTCCTAATATGATTTTTAATATTGACATATATTTATATACAGATAAGCTATAAGTTATGCTCATCTTTATCTGGTATAAATGATGTATATTTTAAATAAATTGAATTTCATTTTAATTTATATAAAACTAAGAAACCAAATATAGTTGTTAAAATTTTATAAATCTGCGTATATACATGATGTTAATTATAATATCCATTAATGTAATTGGCACTGAAACCAAACACTTAAGATTTATAAAATTTGAGTATTTGATTAATTGTAATATGTTCTCTGATAGCTGACCTATAAACATGAAATTATGTATACCAATTTTTATATCTATTACCTCTTACAACGAACATTACAGTCGCGGGTATTTTATTGTAAATAATATATTTTAATCTCAAAATAGAATTTAGAATTTTAACCAGTCAAAAATTAATATTTCCGCGAATTAATTTTAATATTTAATTGAAAAGAAATATCAAAATTTAAAAAGATTTTCGAGATAAATACAGGAAAAATAAATATGTCATTGATAAAATAAATAAATAAACCGAACACACGCAAGATTTGTACACACAGATAAAATTATTCTGTAGATAAGCGCTGTCTTCAAGCATCGTATATTAATTCTCAAATCGATGCGAAAAATACTGTCGATTCTTGCTCGTAGCAGGATTGCATCGTTTTATTCGCGCGTTTTATATTCTGATAAAATATTTATGAGAGAATCAATACTCTACTTTGATTTTATTTATTAGAATAGCCGTTATCTCTAACCTAAAACCTGCTATATACAGACGGTAAGCATTGACTTATTTATTTTAGTTTTCGATAAAATTACGCAAAATAATGAAAAAACTTTGAAGATTTAGAAGGTGAATCTACTGACATGTTAAATTCGGAGGACCTTAGTGAGCAAGAATTAAAAACATTGAGAGGCGATGCCTTGGGCAATAACCTCTGCAGCAGCAAATGGATAATCAATACTTTGATGTCTCTATGTGAGGTAAATTTTCACAAAAGCTATATTCTTTATAGCAGTTAGTTGTGCGACTTTTAAATATTTGAGTGAATTTTTAATCTTATCGATATGCTTTAAATTCAAACTACAATCTATCCATATTTTTTGTTAGATTCGTATTACTATAAAAATGAGAGTAACCGATGTATTAAAATTCATTTCAGATACATGAAAATGGTTGGACAGAAGAGCTAGAAAATCAGCTTTGTATTTTGTGGGACTTAAGTATGGAAGGGGATGTAGTATCGTATCTTACGTCACATGATTTTCTAAAAATAGCAAAGAACATATTGGAGATTTACCACGATCAACCACGATTGATTGTATGATACATTTATTTATCTTTATTATAATACACTTGGTTGTTCTGAAGAAACTATTTTAGAGAGTAAAATATTTAAATTTGTTTTTATATTTAAAAAAATATATATTTTTAGGAAATAATTTTAGGTATCATTGGCAATATATGCTGCAGCAATGAAGCGATTGATACAATAAGCTATGATAAAGATCTTGTTACACAAATTCTGAATCGCTTGACATCTGATGACACACCAATATTAATTCAACTTCTCAGAATTTTACAATTAATTGCGTGCAAAATCCGGGCGAACCCTCAATTAAATTGGGTGGCACACTTTACAGAATGCGAATTTTTCGGAGATTCCATAATTTTTATATTAAATAGTTCTACTAATGGTATGTTAATGCATTGTAATGCTCTTCATAAGAGCTTTATACAATTTGTGTAATCTATAAAATTTTTGTTGCAGATGACTTATTAATGGCAGCAATGAATTTCCTCGAATCTATATCTTATATAAGTTTGCCACATAAAGACAATTTCTTGCAAATATTGTTCAAGATAGACAATTTGATTCATGCACTATTAGAATCATTCATGCAAGTTATATCAGTGGAAAAACTCAGTTATTCCAAGGCAGAAATGATGTTTATTGAACATTGGTTAAAAGTATTAATTGTCATAATAGAATTGGGCTTACTTAAATTTGAGGACTGTGAAAATGATGAAAATTTTTCGAAACTAATGGATATTATGTATAGGATATTAAAATCATACAAAGAATCACATAATTTATTTCCAATCCGGGAATTAAATTCTAACGTGATTAATGAAACTATACGTATATTATTAAGTTTTCATAGCTGTGATGTAGATATCCCATCAAAAATAGATTACATTATAGCGACTATAATTTTTTATCTTAAAACAGGTACATAATACGATCTTGTGTTATAATACAAACACAGTAATCTTTTTTATCTACTGATACATGTTTGCATATACATTCTAGATTCAGATGCAGGACAAGAAGAGCTAGATCCAGAAGAGCTAATGATCATGCTTTCACATAATCTGAATCAATATTGGTTGCAGATTATTGGACTTTGTACCAGTGATTATATTGCAGAAATATTCCATCAATGTAAACACGAAGTTCGTGAATATTTAATACATCTTGTGCAATCTGATTCTAAAGTGACACCTGAGGTACTTGAAAAAGTAAAGAAAGCTGCTGCTAAAAATTGTGAAAGATTTTCTAATGTATAATATGTAAGACAGAAAGTAAATTGTCTTTATTTTATACAAACATCTTATTAGTTTCAATTTTACAAAAATCGGATTATAAGCAGATTATATATTGATATATAATAACTGCATAATCACAAAGCGAATAATGATAATATAGAATCAATGATTAATGTGCACAGACTTTATTATTTATTTCATTATTATTACTGTTTTTACTTATAAAGTTATTAACTATGTAGCAAGTTTATACATAATTTGAACACTATGTTCCAAAAATTTTATTTATATGGAACTCTTGCATTTACACAAGATTTTAGAAGCTATCAGAATAAGATGTAAATTGCACATCAAACCTGTAAAATAAATACAATTGCGCTTTTATTATGTTATATATAGAAGATTTTCTTTTTATTTTCTGTTCTATTTATCTTCATTATCTTTCTTGGATCTATTTCAGATAAATTTTTCTTTCTCAAAAAATTGAGAGAAATTATATTCGTCAACTCAAATTTCTAACATTTTATTTATAATGAAATTAAATTTCTATCATTTTTTTTTATCTTCAATCATTATTTATTTTCTACGATTAAAAATTCCTGTAAATTAATTTCTTTTCCTGCGTTCTCGCGTTATAGTTCAAATTTGTTACTATGCATGCGCAGAATGAAGTGGCTACTAAAATAAAATTCTGAATATTATGATTGGGCAATATTTCCATTCTGCGCATGCGTCATTAGACATGAATGGCTGGGAAGTTTCTCGATAGCGATATATACATACAGGTCGAAGTTGACGAGTTCAATTGTTTCCCTTAGATTTTAGATCTATCCGAAATTAATCGAGAGATGAAAGAAACGCATCTCTTCAGAATTAGGTTATCAAAGACAAAGGACGTATCGTATTTTGTAAGGTATAACACTTTCTTTTCTTCCTCTGACCGAAAAATATTTTTATATTGAACGTGCGCGCAGAAAGATATAAGATTAACGGGGTCGCGAGTAATAAAATTAATTCGTAATAAAATTTAGCAAACAAGCATTTTTTCAAGAGGGTTTGACAAGAGAAAGGATTAGCAAGGTTAAGATTCTGTGTAGTTTACGAGAGCAACGCAGGTCCGTTTTTGTTTGTTAGCCAACATATCATTTTCCGTTCCTCTCATTTTCCAAATAATCGATTACACATCTTTAAATGCAAGAGATATATTTTTCCACGGAGAGCAGTTTCGTGTTGATTTTTCTCGTATAACGAGGAAAATTATCTCGGGGATTCATGATTCCGTGACATCGAAATTGTATCGATTTTGTTTCGATTCCTGGAGAAAGAAATGCATCAAATTACTTCTATACCTAGAAAAGAAAGTGCAGCTGATGACAAAACCGCGAATCTCGATCTTCCCTCGCTAATTCCGATTCGGAAATTGATTCGCGCAATAATCCCCCCTCCCCCTCCTCCCCTCCCTTGTGTAAGTGCGGCGACAGATACAAATCGCGGTGAATGTAAATAACAGACGACTTCAGAAGTCGTACCCTCCCTTGTCCCTTCCCCTTCCCTTTCTTCTGCCGCAACGACACGGGGTAGTCTTGTCCTTGTCCCGGCTTTTCAGTATCGGTCGCGAATAGTATCGGGTTCGAGATGCTCGAAGGCGTTATCGCGATAAGCGCGATCTACGAAATATCGTAGCTCTTGCGGATCAGCTGAGTCCGCGATCCGAGATCTCTCCTCCTTTTGTATCTCTTATGTTTCTCGGAATTTCGTTAACGTTTTCACGCAGTCATGTCTACAATTGAATTGGAGAATGGTGAGTTTGAAATTAATACTGATCGAATATCAAGTCAAAAGCGATTTTTAACTCCGTGAAGGATCGAGAGAGATGTGGCTTCTTAAAAAAAAAATCACGATATAAATAGATACTTCGTTTTAAATACACACAGTATATTTTCGTTCGATTAATTTGAATTCCCGCATAATTAACGATAATCTTTTCGCATCCGACTATTAATCGGCATTTAAATTTCCAATTCGACTAACGGTATTTTTCTGATCGTAGCTTCTCGAGTCTGTCGCGAATTAAATTAAATTCGCTCGCGGATTTATCTTACATTGAATACTCGACAAATCGATCGCAAATTAATTTAACAGAAATAAATCTGTATTTTGTTTTCAGTTTTGCGACAGATGTTTATGGAATGCGACGCATCCATGTCAGTTTCGACGCCGGATTCGACGATATCTATAGGTGACGAGGTGCCGGTCTTCAAGATCGTCCAATACGTTCAGGATCAATTGCCGACTTGGTCGTGAGTGTCCGCCGAATAATGTTATCTCCTTGCCGTACGCATGGAACACGTCATTCGTCAATGTTGATATACGGCCGAACGTGAGACGCGAAAGAAAGAGAGAGAACTTGAAACAAATTATACCGGTGTGTGTATGCTCGCCGATCGATACAAGGACAAACGCGATCGACGACTTACCGCACAGTTTTAAGAGCGCGATATATAGATTCTACATATATATTTTTACAAGGCGAGATGAATATATGAAAAGCGAAATTTGTGTTCTTCTCTCATATACATTTAATGCACGTAAAAATAATTTAATGCAAGCACGATATTTGTTTGTATTTAGTATCGTTGTAATATCGTTGCGATAATTTTTCTCATCCGAGCCACTAACGACCGCGTCTCTTTTGCAAAAAAGATTACTTTGTACTGATCATGTCGATATCTTAATAATCGATAGAACCGACGACCTGGCGGAATTTTGGAAATGTTTGGCCGCTGTTTCATCGAACGATCGTGTAAACATGTGGCAATTCAAGGAGGCGACTAAGTGTTGGATCACCAAAATGCAACAGATACAATCTTCGCAGGATGACAATAACAACGCGCGGGAAAAACTTTAGTAAGTAAGAAGCGTAGCTTTATTTAGAGAGATAAAAGAAGTATACGATCGTGTACGCATACATAATGATATATAATGAAATGGACTAGTTTATTGCCACTTACGGTAATAATACCGAGCGATTTTGCGCAGTCATAACGTAAATTACAGGAAACGCAGAATTATTATCGAACATATTGCTCTTAACTCGGAAATTTTTCTAACAAAAAGGAGAAAAAAACGAATGCATTTTTCAATGGAAGCGGAATAATTCGCATTTGAAATGTCTACAATGCGTGTACTGAATTGCGCCGTAAATTTTAAGACACTGCAGCGCGATACTATTATTGCGTGGATAATATAAGCGCGGAATCCACTGAACCGTAAAATCCATATATTGTACATGGAATGTCTGGCGAGAAAAGAGTAACGCGTAACAGTGTGTATCTATTATAGATACATTAAGCAAACACTAGCTGAATTAATCATACTTTGTTCGCGAAAAGTATTATTAGCGATAATGTTATTTGGCTGTTTTCAATCAATGTCGTTACAAACAAATAAACAAATCTATATATATTTTATATAAACTTTATTTTATTAGTACAAATATATATATGGATTTATTTACGACTCTCCCATCGTGAGGGAAAGTCGAGTAAGCTCGCGATGTACTTCGACATTATGATCCATGGTATCTTTCACACGGATTATTTCTGGAGGACCGATCGTAAAGCGTCGCGTTCCACATATACACAGACGATAATATTTTTCCTCGCCCATTCAATACGACTTTATCTTGACTTTATACTCGACAAGCAATTCGGCCGCTTTAATCGTGTGGTAGCACCTTGAGTCTACTTGATTCGGTACAATATTATACACTTTTATTCAGAGACATTGAAAAATTATTCACGGTTCTACGAGCACGCGATATGCGCAAACATACACACATACACGCACGGGCAGATATGTATATATGCAAATGTTCTCAAGCAAGCATTGAACCAGTTTACTTTCTTCGCTCTTTACTTCGATGTGTATAGCACAAACGATGTGTACGGCTCGTTAAATTTGCAGAAGCGACTCTATTTGAAAAGACCGATAAGAGATCATAGAGATGGATTCGAAGCTTATGCGATCTCGTTGATTATTTTATTCATACAATCACATTTTGCTAGGTTTTATCTGTTCTTTGTTTTTAATCGTATGGAATTTAAATGGTTAAACATTTATCCAAATATATATATGTTCTTTTCTATACAATAATAACTAATAAATATAATTCAAAAGCCTCGAGAGATATTTTTGTAAAGGAAAAATTGTGTTAAAATAGAAGAATCAAGCATAGTTCCAAGGAAATGCGCTTAGCGAGGGGCATTCGATATATTAACGCAATAAAAACATAGTAAAAAGAAATGGGGAGTTCATCGAAAAACATCGAATAAGAAATCTGATATTTTTATACTATAAGCACATGATCCGAATGTATTTCTGTTTTTACTATTTAATTTCTCATCGGACTTTTTCAACAGGAAACACGTCTCCTCCTCATTGCACTGCACTTTGGGATTACTCGTTAATGTTACACCTGTATGTGTACATTTGTGTGTATGTGTGTACGTGTGTGTGCGTACACAGCCGATCACTCGCATACATTTTATTATGTCGCTCGCGTATTATCCGCGGCCGCGATAAGCGATACACAAACTGCGGACTCGCGATTGTCAACCGGTGAAAAGTACGCGCGCCAAAATTCTTCGTCTTCTCCGTCTCGTAGAATTCGACGAATTTCCGCGAGGTACGATCGACACGAGAAACCGAGGATGGATCTAACCGATGTTGAGATCTCGCCTACAAGTGTTTTTAACACTTACGTGCGAGTGTATTCTGGCGGTCGGATTGTTCTGATTGTGAATCGACGATTCAGACGTCGGTTTCTCGTCGTCGATCCCGGTAGAATCGAATATGCGATGTGTCACTCGAGCGACGTATGACGCGTGGATATTACGTCTAGCAGATGGAAATCGGCAGCGCGATATCTCTTATGCAATTCGCGTGTGGTGGTTCAGTTGCTTGCTATCGTATCTGGCGAATCCTGTTTACGTGTCAGATGCACGTTTTTGCGAGAGTAAAAAAAATCGACGATATTTTAGCCGATTTATTGTTGGAATTATATACTGTGTGCTTCTCCTATACGATCGCGCGTGTAAATCCTCTCGTTGCGAACCGTTAAATGTAGCAATTTAATAATTATAGTGAAAGAAGCAAACGTAAATTCTCTTAACATTAACGTGAAGTCGAAATTTTGGATCAATTTATCGAATCTGTTTATAATAATGATAGTGTGTTTCGAGATCTTGCATCGCGACTTGACCAATTATGATTTGTGATCAATACAAGAAGTAAGTAAGGGATTTGGACTTCATGTTGCGAGATTATACATATTAATACAAGGCTGAGGCACGAGTAATTAAAGGGGATTATTTTACCATGGATATCTCTGTGAATTTATTAAATAATATGTGCATCCACAATATTATTTTTTTCTTTTGTTTATTAAACTTAGACTTACGAGTATATTATGTACAATATATAAAAAAAAAACGTAAATAATGAGAATGTGTAAGATGCATTGTGTCATTTAGTAATAACTGTTTTTCTCCTCTCGTTGCGAACCGTTAAATGTAGCAATTTAATAATTATAGTGAAAGAAGCAAACGTAAATTCTCTTAACATTAACGTGAAGTCGAAATTTTGGATCAATTTATCGAATCTGTTTATAATAATGATAGTGTGTTTCGAGATCTTGCATCGCGACTTGACCAATTATGATTTGTGATCAATACAAGAAGTAAGTAAGGGATTTGGACTTCATGTTGCGAGATTATACATATTAATACAAGGCTGAGGCACGAGTAATTAAAGGGGATTATTTTACCATGGATATCTCTGTGAATTTATTAAATAATATGTGCATCCACAATATTATTTTTTTCTTTTGTTTATTAAACTTAGACTTACGAGTATATTATGTACAATATATAAAAAAAACGTAAATAACGAGAATGTGTAAGATGCATTGTGTCATTTAGTAATAACTGTTTTTCTATCGATCATGGCTATTATAACACTGATAACATGATGTATACAAATTATTGTAGCCTCGTGAGCGACACAGATTTGTCGATGAAAGACATGGACATAAATAGAGACATCGTGGAATTCGAACTTCGCGCAAAACTTCGGGAACTTCACGAGGAGAACATCTTCCTTCGCGAGGAGCTCGAACGGCATGAGACATCAATCGACAATTTCAGACAGCAATGTAACATTGCTGAGAGGCAGCTGTACGTATATTTTTTAATTAAAATATTTGTAAACTTGACTCATAAATAAATCCCCAAAATCAATCTACAAATTTTTACGGTAAAACTGCAAATTTTTACGGTACGCATTTATCGAATATTGTGCGCTTTATCGATACAGAGATCGTTACGCTCAGAAATGTCAACAACTCGAAAAGGAGAACGACGAGCAGAGAGACCAATTAAACGAGGCAATTAAGAATGGAAAGGCTACGGCCTTGACTTTGCATAGATATACGAAAGAGCATCAAAATTTGTCGAGGCAATTGGAAGCTGCAGAGATTGAGGTGAGATTGCGATTTTTTACTCGGCAAGCTGGAAAGATTTATGGCGTCTGCACAGATTCATGTGACAATAAAGAGATATTAAATTTTGTCACAATTTATTTCTTCGTATATTATTTCTTCTTATAATATCATTCATAACTAATACCGAGAATAAATTTGCGTTTTTTTATTGCAAGGAACTTTATACATTGAAATGTCAAACTTTCCATTTTCATGTACAAAAATAGATACAAGTTATACCATCTTTAAAATGTAAAGTGGAAAAAATTATCAAAGAGAAAATGGATTGTATGAAACAAATTGCCAGATTGCAAGAGAAATTTGATGAAACGGAAAACGAGTGTAAACAATTAAAAGTCACGATAGCTGAACTGGAGGAAATAAATATTAAAATGAGGGAGACGTATGATCAAACGATTCATGTAAGCTTAATAATACAACGCTACCGTATTATATATTATATACAATGCATTGCGTAAATTATATAATGCTATAGAGCGAGAAACGTATATTACAGAATTTGCGTGAAAGGAATTGTCAACTTACAGAGGAGAACACGGAACTGCAATCGTTGTCGATTTTAAATAGATATTCTCCTGGAGAAAGAGTAAATTATTATTTAATGTGTCATAGAAATGTAAATTATGTAAAAATGATTTTTCTCGCAGTATAATCTCCGCGCGATTTTTACAGCTTTCGATATCGTCAATACCCGACATAGACGGATGCTGCACGCATAGCACACCTTATAAATCAAGGAAAATATTGCTGCAAGATTCATTATATGCTGAACTAAAAGCTTCAGTAAGATAAGAAATTTTTATTTCGTTTGAATACTTCTTTAATGCGCAATAAAGTACAATAATTTTATTACTTACACACATAGAGTACGAACATTTTGATAAAACTCTTAAATATTTTTTTTTCTGTTTCAATAATTTTTCTGCATTTTATATATCTCAGGGTTTTGTAGCCGAATGCAGCAGATATGACTTATATAGACAAGAACTGGATGAATATGACGCTGCGATTTCGACGATATTGGAACAACTGGAAAAGTTTGTATCTTTAATTAATTTTTATTTCATCTATTAATCAATTTCTTTATATTTTAATCTCTTTTAGATCACAGTTTCATTTGTGTTGTATCTGCGATTGACTTTCAGAGTTGTACAGATTTTCGGTAAAACGCGGAGCTCCATCGACGACATACCTCAGTTTAGCTCGCAAGACATGGACGCAGGGACTTGTAATATAGAGACATTGAAACACAAAGTGACTCTTCTACTGAATATGGTTAGTTTTACTTCGAATTTTTTTTCTATTATCGCGAGTGTCATCGCGATTTAAATGATAAGCGACCGCTTTTACATACGCGCCATGCTTGCTACAATCTTGTGCATGTATCATCATCGGATGAACACGTTCATGGCAAACGTCTATTTTTATGACAAAGCAACGTCGATTTCAAGTTTACAGTCTTTCTTCTTTTATCTGGACTTAAAGCAAATCGCGTCCGAATGCAGCAGATATGACTTATATAGACAAGAACTGGATGAATATGACGCTGCGATTTCGACGATATTGGAACAACTGGAAAAGTTTGTATCTTTAATTAATTTTTATTTCATCTATTAATCAATTTCTTTATATTTTAATCTCTTTTAGATCACAGTTTCATTTGTGTTGTATCTGCGATTGACTTTCAGAGTTGTACAGATTTTCGGTAAAACGCGGAGCTCCATCGACGACATACCTCAGTTTAGCTCGCAAGACATGGACGCAGGGACTTGTAATATAGAGACATTGAAACACAAAGTGACTCTTCTACTGAATATGGTTAGTTTTACTTCGAATTTTTTTTCTATTATCGCGAGTGTCATCGCGATTTAAATGATAAGCGACCGCTTTTACATACGCGCCATGCTTGCTACAATCTTGTGCATGTATCATCATCGGATGAACACGTTCATGGCAAACGTCTATTTTTATGACAAAGCAACGTCGATTTCAAGTTTACAGTCTTTCTTCTTTTATCTGGACTTAAAGCAAATCGCGTTTTTTTTTTTCGTAGGCCACCGAAGAGATCACGAAGAAGAGCACCAAGGATTCGAGCACGCAGCTTCGAACTGATCTGACGAATGAACCGAACGACGATTTGAATCAATTTGGCATCATGGGTTTCCGGGATCTGCTGCTGACACGCGCGTAAGTTAACAATATAGTATTCATTCGGAACAATGACGCAAAACAATTGCGCGAATATATTACACTTGTCGGTGAATATATCACACAAATTGATTGATTAATTCACAGAGGAAGTTTATCGCATAAGATGGTTTTGTATCAAATAATTTCTTTTATGTAAGCAAGAGTGGAAAACCTTACGTGTTGAATTGCCTAGATTTTGTATAAAAGGCCGTTCTGTGATTATTTGCATGTACCTTAAACGATACACAGAAAAAATATCACCCCTGTTTTCTCACGAAACAGATGATCAGTCGACTCTGATCTCGATCTGGATCAAGGTCGAGCATAAGCGGGCGCGTTTGCAGGGTTTCCCATAAAAATAGCAGTTATCGTGCACGCTGCATATATGACAGCGCGCTCTCGAATGGGACACTTCACGTAAAAATAACTTTGAGCTGTCCCAAATCCCGCCTTAAATCACGATTTTCAATCCGTTCTTACTTTCTCGTACTTCGATAAAAATGTTTATCGAACCCAATTTGCGCTCGGAGAATATTGTCGGTCTTTTTACAGTTCCTCGTAATTTATGTATTTAAAAGCGTTGCATTCAAAGATGCTAGAATTTATTTTCTCGAAATGCACTACTTTCGAAAAATGCGATCGTATAACGACATTAGGAGAGAGATATCCTCATTTTTTATTATTAGTCAGAGCAAATAGTAGACATGGCATATAAGAAAGAAAAACAATTTAGTTTTATCATAATTAATTTTTTTACCCGGAAGGAAGATATTCGCAAGATGACATAGGTCATAACATGATAATTGAGAAATGTGGATATTTCGAATATGAATATATTAAAGAACCATTCTTAGACATTCATTCTTTTACTTCAGTAACGATCTTGTATAAGAAGACCTAAGAATATAAAGTAGTTTCAGAAGAAAACGTATTGCATATTTGTTTTTTCACAAACGATTATCGCAATTGCTATCTCTCGAAATGCATGCCGATGATCACCTCGTGTGACTGCGCGCTGCGCGAAAATACGATGGCACAGCGCAGGGGAGAACCCTGATTCAGTTCTAATGCAGTCAGTTCGTTCTGGACCTTCTTGTCGCGCGTGTGTTGAGAACCGGCGCAGCGTTCCTAAAAATCCCATCTTGCGTACATCACAGAGTGGTTTGTTTATTTTTATCCAAAAAATTAATATTTTTTTATTACAGCGAGAACTCTTATTGTGCAACGACATTGATTTTATTGGCGATCAGCGAGTTTCTTAGGCAATTTAAAATCAAAGCAATCGCATTGATACGGTCAATCATTGATAGAAAGTCCTAAAAATTTCTTTACGTTAAGATAAATTCCTTCGGAATTATAAAAACTATTTCGGTTAATTTGCACAACATTTCTATTAACGAAATGATGAAAAGATAATTTAGAAACACACGTGTGCTTCCGTAATAATAAGACACATATAGGTAGCGTTGATGTAATTGCCAATATTAAACGTAGCAAGGACAGTTTGATTAGTCGTTTTAATAGCATGATCACCGCGTTAAATCAATGCGTACACGCACCGTGCGATGCAGTTTTAATTAGTCGTAATCCACATGAATTGTTTATGTCATCGAGATTGACCTCATTCGCAGACGGATGTGGTTGAATCGCAGAATTTAAGAAGACAAATGAGACAATTTTTATTTTAATTATGTAGAAACCTTCCTCCTTGTTTTCCATAATCGTTTTATTTATTAGAGATTTATAACTTGAAATAATAATCCTTTGCAATCTTCTCGTCTGCATATCCGCTTCGATTTGTTTAAACAATTGAGGCTTCAAGACTAAAATTTTAATTTATGATGTCTAAAAAATCAAATAGTTAACTCTGCAAATTTTAGTTTTGTTAATTTAATACCGAGCCAATTACTCAATGCATTGATTATGCAAGTTGTATTCAAACTCTTATATTCTTTATTTAACTTGAATAATCATTATTTTAGCCAGACGTATACAAAAACGGAGACAGATCTACGCTCAATAACTTTGTGTAACTGCCTGAACAATAACAAAGATGACCACGATGACTCATTCTCGAGAATTATAAAAACGAACAACACGGGCACCCAAAATCGATTGCGCATCATTGAACCCATCATCGAAGAATTACACGACATCATCGAGAGTACTCATAACGTTTTTGTCAGTCACAGAAATCATTCATCATCCGGGAATTCAAGGTCAAGTTGCGTAAAATTTTCTGTTTAAAAAGATAAGAAAGCATTTAGGAAGCATGGAAGATTTGGGTTGAATGAATCTTACAAGATTTTTCCGTAAACAAGTTTGTTAATGAGTTGCTGTTCGAATCAATTATTTTACTGTTAATAGATATCGATCGGTACACACATTGCGGTCGCAGTCTCTGCAACCACCTTCACCGACCGTAGAAGACTCGAGGCGGCAGACATCTAGCTGTCAGAGTTCAAGAACAGATTCTCCCGATGCTTGCTTCGCGCAAGGAGACTTTTGTTTAACGCGGGAAAACTGCAACGAAAAATTGTTCGCTATGGAACCGCACGGCGTATCCGACAAAGAAAATCTGACCCCGAAAAGATCGAGTAAAATGCCGAAAATATTGAGCGTCCTGCAAATGGATTCAACAGCGTTAGCAGCCACGTCGGAGGAAGAAAAGACGAATGCCAATATTGTTCAAGAAATAATCGGCACGAGCAACCCGACAAGTCCCCGTAGAAAAATTTCGGTCTATTGTCGATCCTTCGACGTGGTAACAGTGCAGGATTCGTGTGAGGATCGTCAAAGATCCGGTTTGGAAATCAGACGATCTTCGAGTAATCCGGACGATTCTTCCGCACGAATCGACGAGAGGTTCGATCCAGAGATTGTTGCGGAGAATCTAAATAGCACGCCTAAGTATCCGTTCAATTACAACTATCGCAACACGAAGAACGACAGCGATTCTTCGAACGACTCGTCGCCGCAAAAACAATTCCGGGACAATCTATTGGAAGATGAATTGCCGATTGAACAGCCGGTACTTAGAAAAGTCTATTTAGCGCCCACGCGCCTGAGATTTTCGCAGGAAATTAAGAAGAAATTAAACGAAACCGCTTGCTCCCCCTCCGACTCCATTGAACCGAATATTTCGAACTCTCTTCTGTTTCCCATCGTTGACAATGGACGCGAGGAAGACGACGACGCTTTGCGCTCGTCTGCAACGTTCATTATAGACAAGTGCGAAACGGAAATAGAGGATGGGGGTACATCGAAACCGTATTCGGCGAACGAGAATTTTCTTCGGGAATGTTCTACATCAGCTCGTCGCTTGCTTCCGTGTAATCATTCCGGTAAGTTTTTTTTATCTTGATCTTGATGGATGATTGATCTCAATTAAGTTGAAATACATAGAATCTGTGTTATATTATATTTATTAGCAATATGCAAATCAGAAAGAATGAATCGAGTATACATTGTAGGCGTATCAAGGTGCGATGCTAATTGGAAATCGCGCGAATAACTTATTACATCCGCCTCGGGATGAGACATCCTGTAGATTTCTCAAGTTGTTTTATTTTATCAATTTCTTGATTTTATTTTCTCCCGCAGATTCAAGGAAGATTACAGATTCAGGGAATCCCCACTCTCAGGCGAGCGTGCAAAGAGTCGAGAGTGAGCCGCGAGTCGAGCGGTCAGTCGATGGCCAAATGTCGAGTCGCGAGGACAGTTCGGATAGCGAGTGCGAGCCGGCGGCGGAATCCAGTGATCAATGCACCGGCGAGAAAGTCGATGGAGCCGCATTGTCCACATCATTGAACAGTCTGGCTTCCGCGAAGATAGTGCCGTGTAAGAGCGTGGCTAAAAAAAATACGAAAACATGCAACAGGGACCTGTTGAACGTGAAGCAAGGGAAACGACAGGTTGGTGTCACATGAAACAATAAACTCGAAGAGGTTTTAGTTAAATTTTAATTAAATTTTAATTTGATTAATTTAATTTTAGTCAAGAAATGAAACAGTTCTTTCTCTTCTCTCGCTTTCTTCGGAAATAGAGGATGGGGGTACATCGAAACCGTATTCGGCGAACGAGAATTTTCTTCGGGAATGTTCTACATCAGCTCGTCGCTTGCTTCCGTGTAATCATTCCGGTAAGTTTTTTTTATCTTGATCTTGATGGATGATTGATCTCAATTAAGTTGAAATACATAGAATCTGTGTTATATTATATTTATTAGCAATATGCAAATCAGAAAGAATGAATCGAGTATACATTGTAGGCGTATCAAGGTGCGATGCTAATTGGAAATCGCGCGAATAACTTATTACATCCGCCTCGGGATGAGACATCCTGTAGATTTCTCAAGTTGTTTTATTTTATCAATTTCTTGATTTTATTTTCTCCCGCAGATTCAAGGAAGATTACAGATTCAGGGAATCCCCACTCTCAGGCGAGCGTGCAAAGAGTCGAGAGTGAGCCGCGAGTCGAGCGGTCAGTCGATGGCCAAATGTCGAGTCGCGAGGACAGTTCGGATAGCGAGTGCGAGCCGGCGGCGGAATCCAGTGATCAATGCACCGGCGAGAAAGTCGATGGAGCCGCATTGTCCACATCATTGAACAGTCTGGCTTCCGCGAAGATAGTGCCGTGTAAGAGCGTGGCTAAAAAAAATACGAAAACATGCAACAGGGACCTGTTGAACGTGAAGCAAGGGAAACGACAGGTTGGTGTCACATGAAACAATAAACTCGAAGAGGTTTTAGTTAAATTTTAATTAAATTTTAATTTGATTAATTTAATTTTAGTCAAGAAATGAAACAGTTCTTTCTCTTCTCTCGCTTTCTTTCTCTCTCTCTCTCTTTTTCTCTTAGGACATCCTACACTGAATAAAGAAAAAGCTAAGAAGAGCAATTCTGTAATACTACCGGATTGAATTAAATGTGACAGAATAGCGTGCTTTGACACGTGTTGCTTGAGCACTGACAAGTGTCCAATCGTAGTTGCACGAAAGCAATTGATTTTACGGTTTGTAGAAACGCGAACCTTTTGAATGATTGTAATTGATCGAACCGTAACAATTAAGATCTTTAGTATCAACGAGCCTGTTGTTGCGTTAAAGAAATGATTAGTAATAAATCTGCGGTCAATTGACATTAATTACTCATATGAAACGTTACAATTATCCGACATGCGGTCGCCGTATCTATTGCTATAGCCCGCTATCGCTCAACTCGTCTCGCGTTCCGCTAATTAACATGCGCGACTTCTAATATTTTACGTTAGAATTTATGTAAACTTAATAAAACTCGCACATATTTTATATTATTTCAATATTCTAATATCTCTTTTATTATATAAGAAAGACTCAATTCAATCGTTTCTCATATGTGTGTAGAAACAAGTTTGTAGCAAGAAGAATACGCTGAGCGGAAAAAAACTGGTTATACAATTCTTTTTTTTATTTCTTATAATGCAGCATCGTTTATTTCATTAAACATCTTTCATAATAATGCAAATTTTATAACAATTCATAATAACTACAGACTACAAGGTTGCAAGAAGCATATAATATTCCGGAATTGAAAAAAATAATATAAACAGTCACGATTTTTATCTTCATGTTATACGAAAATAGTATCTTTCTTTTTCCTTTGTATCCACATTTGTGTACGAATTGCAAATAAACAAGCAACATTCGTTTAGGGCAATGTCAAAAATAGCTACGAAAACTCGCGTATATTTTCTTCCAGCTCGTTTTAAACGACACGTTAATCAATCTGTCATCGAACATTATGCTTACTGCAATTCATCGGATCTTTGCTAATGCATCCTTCTATACCGCAAATATGTAAATCGAGTATTTGATCGTGCATTAATCGCGGAAACGATTTAACGATTAATATATAACGGTTTAACAACTTTAACGACTTATTGCAGCGATCATTTGCATTTAATCTGCGTTTATGTCGCAATTGATGTTTTTTGAAATGAGACGTAGTTTTGCGATGTTTGTGCGAAATCCGTCAGTGGCACGAGACAAGTGATTAACGTCCACTATTAACTGATTCGGTTATACTGACTTTTACTGACATAGTTGCACTAATTATGGACGCAATGAAAAATCACGGCGGGAAGGTTGTTTGCGGGTTTCTACCTTATATATCATCTGGCGACGATTTTCACGCATCGATCACGCGATCGACTGAAGCTTCTCTTCGTCATTACTGTGCTAAATTAATCGATCACCTTGCTTTTACATGCATTTGCTCGTGCTTGTACTTCTATCATAAATTCGAAGGAAAAAATACACACATGCATATATCATTAAACCAGTTAGTTATTTTGTATAATATTTTAGATAATTATTTCTTCATATTATACGAAGGAAAATTTTTTAACAAAGATCGGCTGTGCCAGTTGCAAATGACATAATATAAATTAGAACATTTATGAAAATGTATCGTGAACAATGCTCTTTCCACACATTTCTTACAGTCTAGAAATCATTTAATGCTCCTCTAACGCAAGATATCTCCGGGATATCATGGAATTATAAATATTATATTGAAGTACGATAGCGTCATAACGCACGTGCCCCATCTACATCCGGCAGTCTATTTCGTTTGATATGAGAAATAATATTTGTCTTAGAGGTGCCACGGAAATATTCGACAGATATTAATGGAAAAGCGAAAAGAGAGAGAGAAAGAAGGTCGCCGAAAATTTCTATGTATTCTCCCGGTGATGTATTTATCGATAGCGATTAATCTCATTTACGAAGCTAAAGTGTAATAATAATCATTGCCCCCCCGGAATTCAGTCACATCGCGAGGAATCTCGACCTATCTGTTTGAACTCGTAATTATTTATCCGGAATCTTTTAAGTTTCAATTATATATATATATATATATGTTGATATGTGTGTTTCTAACACGTGCATGTACGTGTTTTCTCATACATATTTTCATTCTTTCTTCAATAGTATTTGCACAAATGCATTTATGATAACGCTTGCAATCCGTAGGAACGAAGGTCATACTTCTACTGAAAATGTGCGATTTGTGCCAAATGAACTGTTCTTATCATTCTCAAGCTCGCCTAATCTTTGCATATGTTGCACTGATTGTTAATCGTCAGCGGTCAACAACTAATTTATACGAACGCATATTCGTATGCACTTTTTTCCGTCATTAGATATCGATAAATAATTTTCGTTAATAGACTTTTGCCATTTTTGTATAGCAATAGTTAAACGCGTAAATTACATTTACGAATTAAATATAATGTATTCTTCTTTTATCAAGATCGTAAAAAAAACATTGCTTCTTTATTACAGCGACTTTTATTTGCCAGAAGATCATTCTCGGAGAGTGAAAGTAGCGCTCGATCGAGGTGCCGTTGCAGGTACCAGGAAAGCGCGCCTTTGATTCTGGAAGGAGATCAATGCAAAGTCTTTCCGAGTCTCACGGACATTCGTCTGCAAGAATCCGGAATAGCCAATTTATCGGACACAAACAGCAGGTGGGTAGAAATTAATTTCCGGTATGTATGACGACTTTAATTGACTGTTAAATTAATCTTTATTTTCAGGGAGAATCTAAGCGAGCTCGAACTACAGGTAAATGAATACGAAATCTAATTATGAAAATTACTAAATATTTTATCGGGTAGAATTAAATCATAAAATATTGCTCTTGTTGTAGAAGAGGTATATAGTGTTCTCGCTATGCCTCTGCACAGATAGGGTGACTCTATCGCGAAGGGTAGCAATGTCGCTTCGGCAACGCGATCAATCGGAGAGAAATTTCTCCTGCGAGGTGCAGAAGATGCAGCAAGACATCCAGGCAAGCGAACGCGAAAATATCGTCGTTTATTAATTCGCTTCTTTAATATTCATATTGAACAAAAAGCGTATAAGCGTTCAGCACTAAATTGTGCAAAATTTCTAAATTGTCCACGAAATACTTTTATCAGTTAGTCGTGGTAGTCCTTCTATTCTGGTTCGTTGAAGGGATTGAATTTTGCATAACGTCAGGATCTTGCGCCACTATGCACGGATAGGGAATCTGTGGAGCGGGTAGAGCGGGTCAGACATCAGTTGGACATGATTGTGCGATGTACGCACAGGGTGTCCTGCGCAGCCGAGACTCTAGGCGCCGTTTACCAGGAGCATAGGGTTTCTCAGGCCGTTCAGCTGGCCGACAGATATCTCCGGTTGCTGCAGTCCCGATGCGAAAAGCTGATTGCTGATGTCGCTGAGACTAAGTGAGGGTCAGACTTATTAACATCCCTTAGCATTTGCCGTTCGTTCAATTTGCATTTTAAACTTTGAAAATGTAATATTTGCTTTTTTGGTGTCTTCCTATTGCACGAATAAAAATCTTATAAACTCGTCCTTCGATAGCAGTCAGTTAATTAGATGAGTATTCTTTGTGAAAAATTGAAGTAATAGAGTTTGTTCTAAAGTCTTTTTCTTTCCTGTTTCTTAAACGATAATAAATCAGTGATAGTGCATGGCTGTTCTCGTTTCCAGACGGATCCTGATAGAGAACAACATAGTGATAGAGGAGAACTCCAGCGAACTCTGCGACGATCTGCCCCGGATTAGATACAGGAGCGGTACACCCGCCAATAATCGTATGATGGTTCGGAAATATTGAAAGATTTTCATGTTCGTTGCTTATTTCGCTATTTTTGTTCCTGTCGTAGTTCATTAATAATTGCTCGCTTCTTCATCGATATATTCTCGCACGTTTGCATAATTTCGCAGATTCTTCAGATTCGCAGAATTTCACGATCGTATTCACGCCGCTTGCATTTTCATTCATTTTTTTTCATCTCGCACGATGTCAATTGATTTGTATGTTCCTTCGTTAATTTTTCTTTCTAGATGGCTAGGAGAAGAGCTAGCGTAGCCACAATGTCTCGACCGATTGGCAGCACACAGGACGTGACAAAGGCAAATTTTTCTTGTCGTTTTATCGTTTTAGCTTTGAATTTTCACTTTCACAGTTTGATATCTCAGCAGAGGGTATCTTCTTACATTTTGCACTACTAACGCAATAATTTCTGTATATTTTTATATTCTCTTTATATTATTTACATCTTTGCCTCATATTTTACTCGACGTAGGATACCATAAGGCAGCGAAATTCAGTTTCCGGACGTATGACTCTCAGGAGACCATCTTTCAACTCTGAATCCCCAAAATGGGAAATCGAGAAACTGGATCGTACCGAGTTAGTATATATTATTATTATTATTATTATTTTATTAACCTAGATTTAAATATCGTAAAAGAAATATTTAACATAAGATTTATACATTATATGGAATATTTTTTATATTATTAAACAGCAGTTCCAACAGCATGAGCGAATTACGTGGTATCTTCGAGCAGACCGAATCCCGTCGTAGTTCAAGGGAGGAAAATAATAATAAATTACGACTAAGACACTCCAATAGCCAAAATATAATGAACTGCACGGTCGGCGATAGCGAGATTTGGACAAGTACGAAGCAGCAAACTTTTGAATTCTTTGCTGACGACGAAGACGTTAATCTAGATGCTGAATCATGGTAATTATCTTTGATTTCTTTATTATATTTATAACACGCTTTCTTTATTATATTTAACACGCGTGTTTCTTTTTGTATTTATTCTATTCTATAATTAAGATTTTCAAACATAATTTCTTTTTTTCAGCACAAGATCGTCGCAATATTTCCTAAGAAGTATACCATGGCGTACGATGTTATGGAGTATTATTATCTTCTTTCTCGGCTTTTTCATGAATCAAGTAATGGTGAATGCTTGCAACGGTCCGTTACATGGATGGTCGATCGAGCATATTCTTAGCAGACATATTTATAAGATAACAAACGCGGCGCCTCATCCGATGTAAATTTCGCGATGTCTGCGCGATGTATGGTCTGTGTATCGGTAAAATAAGACTAAGTATACACTGTAACATATGTCAATGATAAAAAGGCTGAATAAATTAATAAATGTAAAATTTGTTCGCGCCTTTTAACGAGATCGCACTGCAGCGACGAGTGCTGCGATTGTATTAAAGCTCTTGTTTCTTCATATAACCACATTGGATTATCAGCAATGAGAAAACACGTAAATCTTTTCCTTTCACAATACAATGAAGAAATAAAATCTTTAAAAAAAAATACTTAAACAATAAATTTTAGTTATTATCTATGTTTCTATATCGAGAAATTTTGTTGAGTTATTTTTAAATTATAAAAAATTTGTTTTAAATGTTTATATATAAAAATATTCTTATATTTTTGTAGGAAGAGAGTTTAATACAAAATATATAAATAACTTAATAAAATATAAAAAAGGATATAAAAAAATAATTTAATATGCAGATTTTTTCAATGTGTTTTTATTTTTATTTAAACGTTTTGGATTGTATAAATGTTTTTATATATGAAGTAAAATATTTCCTTTCTAATCTAAATTGAATAGCACATTGTATTTAGATATTCATATATTATGATTTATAAAAGTATCTGAAAATTTGACACAAGTATCTGACATGTAAAAGATTAAATATAAGGTTGAAAAATAAAATAAGTTATATACACAAATTAACTAATTACAAGTTATATTAAAAAAAGAACTAATAAAAATATTGTGTGTTCTTTGCATTTTTTTAACTAAGTCATAATATATAAATATACGAATATATGATATCAAAATGTATATATCGAGATGCGGCATGTATTAGATTCGAGTTATCTTTGCGAAAATACCTAAGCGATTAAAAAGAAGAAACACATTGAAAAAAACAAAACGTTTACATTTCGTGAAAAATAAAATTATTAAAGATCCATCGCCAGCTTATTTTTCTTTCTCTTTAACAACATATAATTGCACGTTATTGATTAAGCCCAGAGAAAAGATGTAATCAAAATATATGAATATACAATCAGACATAAATATGTATAATTATATATGAAATCATTAAACGAATAATTTTTGTATTGTTTTTTAAAAATAATAAAATTTGAAGAAATTACAAAAGTCCATTGTATATAATTACGTATAAATATATAAAATTATATATGTAGTTATATATAGAATGTTGCGTAATCTCTTATCGTAATTTGACTTTTTCTATTTAAAAAGCAATACAACAAATATTTTTATAATTATTATCCATTATTTTTCTTATTTTTCTTGCTTAAATGGATTGAAAGTACGTAAGAGAAAAAGAACATATTATATGGACATATTCTATCTTTGATATTCATCCATATATATATTTACATATGTATGGAATTTTATATTTATGGATTTTTTTCTCCTTGATATTTATAAGTTGCACAGCAATCACATGTGAAAATTGAGAAATGATTTGTAAGAACAATTAATTTTTAAATAGTAATTTTCACTATACTGATGTAAATGAGAAAAGAAAATAAAGTTAGAGTTTTTAAAATATCAAATTTGAAGTTTTTATTTGTATTACCACTCTTGTGTGCCTATCATGTTTCCGACAGAATTTAAATTTGTGTAAGTATCGGCGGGAAGCCAAAGATTGGCCCCGCAGGGAGAGTTTTTTAGCGGGTGCAAGTCCCGTATATCCCATCGGACCGGCCGGTGGGAATGCATAATACATTTTTCTCTTCCTTCAAAAAAAAAAAAAAAAATCGTGATATTTGTGCGGATTTTGAAGCTTCAAATTTTCGTCTTTCTTGAAATTTTACTTTAGCCACCTCTTTGCTGATCATATTCTCCTGATACTATTGCGGATTTCGAAGGTTCAAATTTCCGGGCTTTTTAAATTTTGGTTTGTGCCATCTCCTTGCTGATATGTTATTCTGATACGTTACCTCTTTGCTGATCATGTTCTCCTGAAACTTTTGCGAATTTCGAAACTTCAAATTTTAGCGCTTTTCTAAATTTTGGTTTGTGCCACTTCTTTGCCGATCATGTTCTTCTGATACTTTTGCGGATTTCGAAGGTTCAAATTTTCGGGCTTTTTAAATTTTGATTTGTGCCACCTCCTTGCTGATATGTTCTCCTGATACGTCACCTCTTTGCTGATCATGTTCTCCTGATACTTTTGCAAATTTCGAAACTTCAAATTTTAGCACTTTTCTAAATTTTGGTTTGTGCCACTTCTTTGCCGATTATGTTCTCCTGATATTTTTGCGGATTTCAAAGCTTCAAATTTTCAGGCTTTTTAATTTTTGGTTTGTGCCACCTTCTTGCTGATATGTTCTTCTGATATGCCACTTCTTTGCTGATCATGTTCTCCTGATACTTTGCGGATTTCAAAAGTTTAATTTTTCGCGTTTCTTAAAATTATAGTTTGTACCACCTCTTTGCTGATTATATTTTTCTGATACTTAATTCCAAGAAATGCAGTTTCAGAAATTCCAAGAACGAAAAATCGGCAAAAATGTATCAAGAAAATATATAATTAAGAAAGAGATGTGGCACAATAAGATGTGTGGGAATGGATGGGTATGTTCAATAAGAAGGCATATGCGTTTTGTATTATTAATATACAGTTTATTAGTTATTTTTAAAAATTACAAAATATAATTTTACAGATTATTATCAATTCTTTTATATACACAATAGATAGATATATCGGTTATCGGACGCAATCGCTCGCGTTGTTAATAACTACATTTTGCGCACGCACACACGCAGTCATTTCTCATTATTATATATACAATAATACACAGGCATTTTATTACATATATACATATATCGGGTATCGGACGCAATCGCTTTCGCTGTACACTACATTTTGTACATACGCACACACGCATTCATTTTTATTATTATACAATAATACACACAGGCATTTTTTTACGTATATACATATATCGGGTATTGGACGCAATCAGATACAATGTGATT